AAGATATCATACTTATAATCCAAAATATCCACATTCAATTTAAGAGGATATTAAGGCTTGAATTCACCACACACAGTCTCAAATATTTTTTGCAATGACTTCTTCTTGCTTGTAAATTTAAATAATCTTTAAAAGATGGCAGATTTACTATCACTTGAAGTAGAGAGATAGCCTCTGCTGACAGTAGTCTGTTTTCACAAATATTGTTTACATGGCATTGGGAAGCTTAACTGGAGATTATTATTAATTAAATCTTTATGAAGAAGTTCAACATTATTTTAAAAAATACACAAAATTGTGCGGAATACTGAAGAATTTGTTAAGTTAAAAACAATATCAAGCAAGTAATTGATTGAAATGATGAAGTAAAATAGTGTTAGCATATGTTCGTCATTACTGATTGGTTTTGTCACATAAAACAGTAGTTTTTGCATAAATTTCAAACAAGTTTTATTTTGAAGAATGACCCCAACATATCACTCATATGTTATTAATCATTTCATTAAATTTTTTTCTAAGAAAACAAAACTTCACAAAAAGAATTAGAAAATTAAAAAAAAACTATCTCGTTAGTCCACATAGTTTGGCAGCCGGAATGGGAAATTAGTCAAATCACAGAAACATTTAATTGCAGTTAAACTAATTGCAAACAATTAGTGCTATGATTGACTGATTAAATGATTGACTGGCTGTATACGTTTGATTGAGTATTGGAATATTTGAGTTTGGCTTTTGGAATCCTCTATGCGTTGCGTTGTGCGAAATGATGATATTATTGTGTTGGCTGAAAGTTCACATCTGCATCCGTATTGAGATCCGCTTATAGCTGACAAGCATAAATGCGAGAATTGATGTACCCAGATTGGCCTGCAAGGTTAAGCAGGTAGAATATAGTATGAAGATTTGGCTCGAAGGGAAAAAGCAAAGGTGACTGATGAGGTTTTTGAAGAGTCAAAAGAGCTATTGACACAGCAAGCTTGAAATATGAATAATTTCGATATAGTGGGAGTGTTGCTGCTTCATCTTCGACTACTGCTATCTCCTCTCACCGCTACTTGTATATGAATACATTTTTCACAATATATGGATATTTTTATACCCGAGTACCAAGTTTTCTAAAAGTTGTTATGTAGTGTGATGATAGAAAGGCTAAGAAAGGTGCCAAAGTAATATCTTCCAAAGACATAATTATCATAATTTGTATGTATATTTCTTGAGCACCAAAATGGATAGATGGCATAAGGTAAGGTAATAACTAAAAATTAGTTCTAAAGGATTTTGAAATTATATTCGGCAGCTTTAAATATAGAACAGGGGAACTTGAAACTTAAAAATTCTTAAAATCCCTGTTTATCATTACTTCTAGTGCTAATACTGCTTTATACAATCTAAAGACAGCAAAACTAAAACCATAAATTCTCATAACTGCCCACAAATATACGAATAATCCTTAAAGAACAATATATTTAAAATTTTTTTGTTAGACTATACGAAATGATTACTTTTCGAGATGGAAAAGTTGTCTAAAGAGTCTAGCGATGAAATATCTTAATTTTTCTAATTGAAAACTATTTTCAGCAGTAAAATTCTCTCCTTCGATGATGAAACTTACGAGCGAATAGCTCAGAGGGACTAAAGGAAGAGACATGGGAGATTGGTGGCGTCATATATTAGAAATCTGATTAGGTCGCAAATGGATAATCACCCTGTTTTTTGAATTGGCGTTAACATAAGATATTTTTGAAACGAAGGCTGCGGTCAAATACCGAAGTTACGCGGAGTGGTGCTTAACTAAATCTGCGAGTCTTCGGTTCTTCGGTTTCAAATCTCTATCAAGCTAAAAGTAGAAGACAATTTTTGTCCAACCGGTGTTCGGTATATCAGATAATATCACAACCTTTTCCAATAAAAATCATTTATGTTGAAATGAGATCTCTTAGGTTTTTTAAAAGAACTATATCGAGTGTATATTACAAATAGAAGAAACTCGAACAAATAATATGTAGAAAGTCAAAATTATAGGCGACTAGCTAAATATAAATGATTTCGTATTGTACGGTTTTGTTATTAGAGACTAGATTAAGTTAGGTTCTATGGATAACTTCAAAGATGGAAATAACGATTGGACACCTATAATCAAGTCCTTTATGAAGCGCGGAAACACCTGTAGTGGGATTTCTTGTACCGACAAAGTAACTGGAACCCATCGAAGTCTACTTAGATGTTTTATTTTCATTCCCGGAAGTTCACTTCGATGGCAATGTAGGAGTTTCAGTCTAGGTCTAGGTCCAGCAAAAGCGGAACAGTCAACAAAGAAGTGTTGAGATCGTTCTACTAAACAAATCTTATAACTTGCATCCTTGCATACGATTTTACACCGCGGGAACGCCGATTGGATAATGATCGTTTAAAGCTACAACCGGGAAAGATGAACCTTGTTATATTATAGAACAAGTAAAACAATCGGCCTCATTCGAATTCCAATCTATCTTACAAGTTTTAATTATTATTGCTTAGAATCTTAAGTCGTAGAACATTATTTTCATAAGCTGCGCTTTATTGTCCAACACGAAATGCAAGGTGTTTTCCGCTTTGTTCGACCACCAGCAGTAGCTTATTGTCTTTTCGTTAAGAGCTATGAGCTATTAAGCTTCTTTTGTTTATTTCAAAGAAAAAATTTCAAAAATCAAAATGAGAAAGAATTTGTCAAGCGGTGGCGGTACTTATGGCGCCAAAGCATATATGTTCAGGTATTACAACAACAATAACGTATCAATTGAATAGAGCTGTTGATTGCTGCGATGATGAGCGCAACTTAAAAGTAAACTTCATGTGGAATATTTACTACTGTTGTTGTTATAGCTGCTGTGACAACTGCCCAAGTGCCAGTAGAAGGTCAACACTTTTGGCTATTTGGTTGAGATTTTTTATGACGCTTATGAGCAGCGTAATTTTCGCCTTTAAAGTGGTCCCATACAAGGCATAACCTGCATTATTTTAAATATATCTACATATATAGTAAATATGCTATATGAGTGTGTGTGAACACTTGCTGCGTCTCCGGCGGCTGCTATTGCCAATGCAAATAGCTAATAACACTCGCAAGAAACAGCTCTGAGGTGCAAGCAGTCAATTGGCCCATCAATCACCTAGGCAGTCAGTTAATGCGTCAAATACCTAGCTTTCAGTGCTGCCAGCGTGTTTAAAATTAAATTAAAAGTATTTTTACTTTATTTGATTTATAACGTTTATATGGGATATATAATATATATTTTCCTGGGTTCTTCTTTGTAGTAGGTTCTAATGGCAGATAAATGGGAAGTTTTAAGAAGGTCTTAACTCAGTTTTAACCACATATTTATTTCAAAATTTAAAATACCAAAGACTCTGCTAACTATGCATCTTAAATAACAGGTCTGACAGAGGCTAGGTTAGACTAATCTGGTAGTCTATTGAGCCACGCACAGATCAGTTTTGCTCCTTAGCGATACCAGTTAGAGTGCCTTTACGTAGAGTAATCATTAATTTAGGCTACCTGTGCTTGACAAAAATTTCAAAAGACGCTGAGCCTTACTAACGATACCTCTTCCAGTGGCTCATACCGTGATGTCCCCAAATGCTAGCTGCGTTGCCTTGTCAATGCGGAGCAAATGTTGTTTCCCTGGTGCCTTGCTTTTGACATCTGCTGCAGTCTTCTCGATCTGTCAGTCCCATTCTGCAGGCGTGTGTCGTCACTAGCCTGTGATCAGTGAGTATTCCAATCATGATCCTACCGTGCCTTCTATCGAGTGCCAGTAGGAACTTTATATATTTTTGATCTGTCGTAATACACAGGACTTTTGCAGTTTTGCACCTAGGTGAACATTCCATATAATAATTAAATTTTTACAGATTTATTTATAGCTTTGTAGACTTTGAATCTTCATTGAAACATAAAAGAAATATATTTTTGGGAAATACTATAGGGAAGTCCTTCAGTCAAAGATTCAGAGTATTTGAATCTGCAACAGATTTATTTTAAGATATCTTAACTTGGATCACTGCCACTTAAAATTCATCCTACTTCAGATATTGAAGCTAGACTTAAAAAAAAGAAAAGACTTTCTCGATCAACTTCTCTCTGAAGAATACTAATGTCAAAAGTTGGGTATTTCTGGATCTACCTTAACCTTAAAAGTAGGATAGACTGCGGAAAACCCAAATTTATTGCTCGTTAGGTAGCCCTCAACTTTCTAGTGGCTTTCTAATAAGAAAATCCTTATTTCTAATAAGCAAGCTTGTCGATTGAGTTTATTACAAGACATGCCTTTTGAATTATGAATTCGTTATATTCTGGCTTACCAGCAGTAAAACTGGTGATGTTGTGGTTATGAAAGAGCAATATTCCTAGAACGAAATTTTATTAATTTTTAATATGTGGCAACACTATTCTAAGACAAGATCGAATATTTAAACACAGTTCTTTAAAACAACTAAGGGATTTAAGAGCCAATAGTAGTTCAATAATACATTTATAAAAAAAATCATAAGCAATCAAAAAACTATATCTGGCAACCTGAAAACAAAAATTTGCACCGACTTTGCAAACAACTTTGGGAGGAGTGATCGTCCCTCAATTTTGAAGAGCAGTAAGCCCCTCAACACTTTTGTATTTGAATATGATATTCTCAGTGTTCATTAACAACAACAACAATAATAATATGACAGCCGCTCAGAATGACAGGCTGGCAGCGATTAGTTTAGCAGCGTCCAAAATATATAATATCTATAGCCAAGTAGTTTGCGAAAAAATATAAAAACATACATTTTTTGAACATTTATTTTGAGTTGTTGTTGCTGCTGTTGATGTTTCGTTTGTTTGGTGGCAGCGTAGCGTTGAACATTTGTTTGGGAAAATAGGCGCGCATACAAAGGCAAAAAAAGAGACCAAAAAACAAACACCAAAAATTAAAAAACACACAAATATTTGTGTGCTGCTTCCAAGTATAAATGGGCTTGTTTACCTATGCTTCGGCAGCAGTTCTTAACTCACCACAAACCGCAAACAACGCGTCCGCAACAAAACGCAACGCGCCTTAAAGTCAATTTTACACAGACTAACTTAGAACTGGAGATTTCGTGTGCAAATTAGTGCGAAAATGGTTAGTGTTATGCAGCAAGGGAATATAAGTACATACAATATGTATACTCGGCTTAAGCAGTACTTGAACATCTATATGTGTTTAAGTGTGGGTGTGTGTGTGATCGTGTGCTTGGTTTTAGGTGCAACAGTGTGTGGAAAGTGTAAAAAAAAACAAAATAATCGCCAATTTGAATGTGTTTTTATGTATTGAATGGCTTCATTCTACTGACGAATGATATATATTCCTTAAAGCCGAGGATTTAATAGTTACACTAGTCAGCAATATTTTTTTAGCTGACAGACTTTTTTGCTTTTCATCTTCAAAAATGTTTTTTTTTGTTTTATACAAAACAATGACAGGATCGCTTTTGAAAAAAAAAATAAAATTAAAAAAAAACTAGAAAAAGTGTTCACTTTCCAGTTTGTACTGTTGCCTTGGATAATTTGTCAAATAACAAAGTTTTTTATACAAGAACTTGATTTTGATCGTTCAGATATATATTATAGTTAACCTATAAGGGCGGTTCTGATAATCGAGCAGCTACTTCGGGAAAGGGACGTGTGAAAAATTTCATCATCGATATCTCAGGACAGAGCCAATTCTACTCAGCTCATCATCATCAAGCTGATCATTTATTCACATATGTAACATATATACTTTATAGGGGTTTCGACGCTTCCTTCTGGGTGTTACAAACTTCGTGGCAAACTTAATATACCCAGATTTCGGTATAATAATCGGAATTTATTTTAATAGGGCTGTGACATCAAAGCTGCAACTTTTGGCGTCTTCTTATTAAAACAGTTAAATTTTAAAAAAAAATATTGAAATAATATTCAAATATATTATAGTTTAAAAATCAACACACTTTCAGCAAAAAAAAAGTTAATAATTTTTGCAACTTTAACAATAAGAAGTGTGAAGTACAACTACTTTACAAAAAAAAAAAAAAAAATTCTAAATTTGATAAAATAACAAACAAAATGAATTGTAATAAAATAAAATTTCATTAAAAAATTAAAATTTTGTACATATTATTTTAAATGCAGTTCTACGCCAATATTTTTTTTTTAATTTTACAAGCTAAAACAACGGTAAAATATATGAAAGGAATTAATTTCCTTTTGAAGAAGAAATTTTGAGTCCTTGAGTTCAATATAATAGAGATTCATTTGAAAATGACGTAAGTCTATTTAAGGATCTTTTGGTACAGCAATTGTATAAATTAACATAGCGATAAAATAAGACGAAAAATCTTTTAGAAAGTAAATTTAAAAAAAATTATATTGAAAACTTACCCTCAACAATTTTTATTCATCACGCCAATAACTTTGCACTGAATTCTGAAAGCTCTTAAGTTTGGTTACTACACATAGTTTACATATTAGCAGTAACGGTACAATAATATGAATATGAAATCTTACCGAAATAATCCGTTTTTGTATGAGACAATGCTCGACCTGACGTGTAAAATATCTTAATTTCAATCGCTGCACCGAAATAATAGTCTTAATTTTTGAAACCACTGAGTGAATGTTAAATGCAAAAAAGACATAAGTCAAATATGCGCATTTTTCAAAACAATATTTTAAAATATTATACATTACAGTGGCTTGAAAAAAAAAACACTTAGTGAATATTTTAATTTTTTTTTATAAAAATACATTACCATAGTAACAAAGTACACAAACATACGTAGTAAATTCAGAAATCACCGGAAAACTATATTTAACCCAAAATATTAAAAATATGAAAATGTCTGTTAAATAATCGACTAAAAGGACATAAAGCGTTAATAATAAAGAACAGGATATAAAACTAAGAGCACAAGATTTAAATAATTTTTTTTTTCTCAAAAACTTTATCTATGACTTTTGTCAATATTTTTTAATCATTTGGAGCTGTAATAGAACTCTATAAACAACTTCTTTGATCTAAACGAGATAGTCATTAAAAAAAACATTTCTCTCGCAGTCAAATTACAATTTCTTTATATCACAAAGTTTCAATATCCTTTAACATTTACGACGTTTTACTTACAGAACCCTCTCATCAGTATTGCCCTACTTGCGTTAATCGCATGCACCCACGCTGATGTGTCACATTTGTCAAGCACCTATTTACCACCATCGACCGCATCTGCATCCCGTACCGTTACTTTCAATGCAGCCACAGGCTATTCAAGCGGCGGTGTAGGTGTTAGCAGTGGTGGCAGCAGTTTTGGTGGTCATCGTTACACAGCACCCGCCGTTTCGTACAGTGCACCCTCCACACAAGTATTTAGTACATCCTCCAGCTCCGGCGGTTATTCGGTACCCTCTGCACCATCTCGCAAATACCTAGCTCCCATTCAAGCGCCAGCTCCAGTGCAACACAATGCTGCGGCAACAGTATATCGTGCACCGGCCACATCGTATCGTGCTCCAGCGACCAGTTACAGCGCCCCTGCCGTGCACACGTCTTCCTATCGCGCACCCGCTGCCAGTTATAGTGCTCCAGTAGTTCAAAAGCCAGCAGTTGTTCAACATCATGCTACTGTTCAACAATATCGCGCACCAGTTGTATCATTTTCGTCGGCCAATCAATATCGTGCACCAGGTCCGGTCTATAGTGCACCTGCTTCGGTGAGTCATAGTTCATCATCTGGGTCTTATAGAGCTCCTTACTCCTACAACGCTCCGGCAGCAACCTATCGTGCGCCAGCGGCTCAATATCAATCGTCTGCCGTTACATATAGGGCCCCTGCCGTTCAGTATCAAGCACCTGCCACATCGTACAGAGCTCCTGCTGCTCAATATCAAGCCCCTGCAGCTACATATAGAGCCCCGGCGCCTCAATATCAAACTCAAACGTCTCAGTATCATGCACCCGCCGCTACTTATAAAGCACCTGCAAGCTCTAGTTATCAAGCGCCCGCTTCCTCCTATCGCGCATCCACCACATATCACGCTCCGGCCATTTCCACAAGCAGCGTTATAAGCGGTGCGTACCAAGCTCCAGCTAAATCCATTTCGACATCGTCATCCAGTCTTGGCACCCAATATGCGGCTAATGGTGGTTATATTTATTAAGAACTTTATATGCTCAAAATCTCGATCTTTTATATGTTAAATGTTGGTATTATCTCCCTTCGAATTGGTTGAAAAACATTAAACATTTTTTATAAAAACGAAATTCAATTGTATTTTTATTAACTCTTGGGCTTTACCTGATCATTATATGCACGAATGTCTAAGAGCTTAGCGAGTAATGTTTTTAATTTTATTATTACTTTTGTGTTATAGGTATGAAGAATATCTTTCTTATCTCTCTCAAAGTAATTAAATCTATGTTTGACCGATTTTTATCTATTTAAGACTAACTTTTAAAATTAAATAAGGTTACATCTTCTTTATTCGGAGTCCAATCGAAAGCTAAAAGCAAAAGTTAGTGTACCGAAAGCACATTAGAGGTCTCAAGTATTTTTCTGAAAATACTATTGACTCTTTATATACTTCGGCAATATTAAAGATCCTTTGATCATTTTAGGAAACCTCGTAGAACTAGTCTAGGTTAAATACTTTTTTATCGGTCTCTTTGTAGGGAATACGTATCGACTATGGTCTCGACTTAAACCTAAAGTTCTTTCTATTATCTGTAATTCTCTGCATTCTTTGCTACTTCGTGTGCCTAATTAGACAAAAGTCTAGCTTACATTTGGGTTTGTAAAGAGCCAAAGGTAGAGTGATAAACTCGGTTGAAACTGTCTTCACAGCTAGCCCAAAATGTTATGTTGATTTGCAAGAGAGGCAAGGTGTGGCGTTCACTAACCAACTTTAAACTCTTAAATAAAATCAGCATGAACTCTCTCTTCGTTCTTTGGCCAAAGCTACTGAAGGCCATTGCCAATTGAACCTAACGCATCTATGAAGTAATAAAAACCCAGTAGCATATTCTTATTTTGCTTGATATCAATTTAGTTTATTTGTGGTGCAATCGTTTGTCAGCTGAACGAAAACTTGCGTCAGCATCAAAGAAAAAATACTGAATATAATCGACAATACAATTGTTTAGTTCCTGTGTTTGTAACGGTATTCATAACCACCATTGGCGGCATATTTAGTGCCATAGTTGGAGGAGCCAGCGGCAACGATTTGCTGAATGTTGGAAGGAGCAGCAACTTGAACCGGAGCTGGGGCTGGAGCAACATAAGCGACTTGTGGGGCCGAGGCAGCCACAACTGGTGCTGAGTAACCATAACGGACGTTAGAGGCAGCGCGGACTGGGGCAGCATAGCTGGCGTGGCTGTTAGAAGCAGCACCTTGTCCACCGAAACCACCGGCGAAGCTAATAGCAGGAGCGGAGTATGCAGCGACTGGTCTTGGAGCCGGAGCGAAAGCAGGAACTACACGTGTGGCTGCGACAACTGGAGCCTGATATACTTGGGGACGTAGAACTGGAGCAGAGTAAGCCACATTTGAGGCGGCTGCAACTGGAGCGTGATGTACTTGGACACGTGGAGCTGGAGCAGCAGCGTAAGAAGCTTGCTGACCAGAAGCAGAACCAAAACTGCCAAAACCACCCGACGACGCAAAACCTAACTGAGGACGTGGTGCAGGAGCGGCGAACACAGCTACGTTGTGAGAAGCGGCAGGTACTGGCGCCTGGTATACCTGTGGACGTGGAGCAGCAACATGGAACGAGGGTGCAGCAGCGTAGTTAACGTGTTGGGCCGATGCAGCACCGAAGCCGCCAAACCCGCCACCTGATGGTACCACATGGCGGCTGGGAGCTGGTGCGAAGCTGACATGAGATACGGATGGTGCAGCATACGAAGCGGGTGCCGCATAGCTGCTGATCGAGTTCGAAGATGATGCCTGTGGCGGCAAATAGGTGTTGCTCAGCGCATTGGCGCTGACGCCCAACAAGGCAATAACGGTGGTGATAGCGAAGATTTTCTGTAAAGAAAAAGATGCACGGAGTGTGAGTTTAAATTGTTGATAGGTGATGTTGAGAAGGCTCTCTGTAGCCGCTAGCCTTTACCATATTTTCAGCTGGGCTTCTAGATTGTTGAACTTGAAATCTGAGACTGTTGATGTTCGCTAGAAATCGTGCAACTTTTATATGAGAATCTATTTAGCTCGACCACATGCGAGAGGTTTGGGTATGAGCAATAACTAGGGGTTAAAACAATAAATCTCTGCAAAAAATGTTCGGTTTCTTGTTTGAAAAGGTGTTCTTGCATCTTTCTTCACGCAAATATTTGGTTAATTCGAAAGTCAATTCATTAATTAAAACAAGTTTAACCAAACATTTCTGCTCGTTGAAATTAATAATATCAGCTTAAGTGAATCGTGTGTAACCAAATATCAATAAATGCTTACATACCTACTTGACTACATATATATGTATGTACATACCCTGCAGGGAAATGAGTTCTACTCACACAAATCTATTGTTCAGGAACCGCAAAAGTTTGCAAAGGTTTGAAGGTTTCATATGATGAAGGAACTTCTAATAAAATTGTTTTAGTTTAAAAAAAATCTAGATTTGAGATTGATAAATATTTTTGGTAGCACGACAGTACTATCAAAGTGGAGCTTGGAAGTAATAATCAAAAAATTAGGTAATCCTGCATATTTTTTTCGAAGCGAATTTGAATTTGGATGAATGAACTTCAAGATCATCTCACTGAATTTGCCTTGAAGTTTGTAACACCCAGAAGGAATGTTGGAGACCCCCATAAATATATATTGTATATAAGTGACCAGCATGACGAGCTGAGTCGATTTAGACATATTCTTGTCTGATCTATGGTATATACCTGAATTAGTCCAGCTTCGAGCGTTTTTGAGATATCGATCTTAATTTTCGCACACGCCCTTCTTTCCCCAAGAACCTGCTTATTTGTCAAAACTGACGAAATCGGACTACTATAGGATATAGCTGTCATACAAGCAGATCGATCAAAATCAAGTTTTTGTATGAATAACTTTTTTACTTGACAAGATATCTTCACGAAAAATGGCCTAGATTGTTGCCCGAAGCAACGCTATAATCTCCGAATAAAATGTTCAGATGGGACCACTATAGCATATACATATGTAGTTGCCATACAAACTGAGCGATGAACAAAGTCTTGTATGTAATCTTTTCTATTTGTGAAGAGAATTATACCTTCGGTTCAACTGAAGTTAACGGTTTTTCTTGTTTTAAATTATTTTCAAAATTTCCTACAAGGTACTTAGGTACATGCAGGCATATACAAGTATATGTATATAAATATATATTTATACATATATACATATAAATGCATCCAAAAAGCAATAATAACAAATAATGCGATACTAATTGGAATATTAGAGTAAAAAATGCGCTTGAAAATACGATATGTAGACAACTGAAGATTGGTACCTAGACTTGAAGTGAAGCTCAAGCCAAATTGGCTACTTAAAAGCACTGCAGAACTAGTTTTGTTTTTTTGGCATAAACATGTATGTACATAATAATGTAAGCAATTGCACACATACATATATACGTACACCACATATATAGCTTTGCCAAATTTAAAGTCCAGCTTCGAGTGCTGATTGGATCCCCATCATTTGTTCTGGTCTTCGAAATTGGCGTTGGTTGGTTTTGCTGTTCAATTTACGGTGCTGCTGCGGCTGCGCATCAACAAACACAACAATACTTGGCCGCTCAGGCAGCCAACAGCTTGTTTAGCTATTACTTATTTTTTTATTTGCAAAGTTTTTTGATTAATTAAAATTAGTATTCAATACTTTTATGCACGTATGTTTATATGTGTGTATATATTATATATTTAGAAACATATTTATGTATGTATATCAGTATGTATGTCTTTCCAACAAAATATTTATGAACTCAAACAGCAACAACAACTATGGCCAAACTTGAATATACGTATTTACTACGCGCAGAACAAACAAACAGTAGTTGTTATATATCACTAAATTAAATCAATAGTTTTATTTTTGTTTTATTGAAATATTCATTGGAATTGAATTATTTTATTGTCTAATTTAATGTAGAGCTATTAGTTGCGCTTTAACGATGTGATTATAGATAGTTTATGGGTGTGAACGAAAACATGCCGAAAGCCGACTGTGGCGCATGCTTAGACCGTATGACAACATTTGTTATTGTTGTTGGGTGTATTCGCCTAATAACTGTGTTAAAATGTTGTCAATAGAGTGAGAACAACTGCATAATTGACTTTTTATTTATTTAAAGATTATGCAGATTATTTATTATAAAAAAATATATGTGTTTAAAAGCGTTTGAAAGATGGCGTTGAGAACGAAATTTTTCTAGAAAGAAAATTTGTAAAGAATTTTATATTAATATATTATAATATATAATAGCGAGTCTAATGCGATTTTTCTGCAATGTTATAAAAGAAAATGGACTTTATGGCCGGGTGGGTTCCACACTTGACAGGTTTACGGAGGATTTGAGGTTCAAATATCGTCCGTGTCGAAAGCTTATACTTGTATTATGGAAAAGTTTTTATCTTTCAACAGTCATCAATATGGTGAGCAATATCTAGCATTTGTGAAGTTATTCATGTCCTTGAAAAGCTTCGCATGTAATCTAGAAATACTTATGAGACCACTTTAAGCTTTTAGGGACCTTTGTTAGGATAACTTAGCGTAGAAGTTAGAGAATACTCAACGGGTAGCTCTCATCAGCATTAATCTATTGTCGGAAACTTTTCATCAACAGGTTAACAATAATTTTTATAGCAAGCGGTTCTACTAGCTTTCAGCATTCTGACTGTAAAGTTTAGCACGGGTGCTGATAATATCACAATCGCAGGGAATTGCACAACTGATGCACTCGCAAGGAAAGATTCTTCTCACTGTCAGCAGGATAGAAACACTGTTTTGCGGTTTACTATTGGATGACTGAGTCTCACTTGAGCTTGACGAGCGCTGATCGAGATCCAATTACAGGCATTTTTGGGTTTCAAAAAGACTTGTCTTTAACGGTCCAACCGTGGTCTTCATTTCAGGGACCAGCCATATAACTTAACCTGGTTTAGTGGGCTGAGTGCTCCGCCAAACGGTCGACATTTCTCTTTAAAACGCTTGTATCATGGAAAGTAGCAAGATTGAGTTCCGTTGATGATGGATATAATAAGTTTTCGAGACTTATATTTATATATACATTTGTAGAATTTAGATTCCTCAATGAGTTTACCACGGACCGATATGTCGAAGCGGCTTAGTTGACCGCAAATAGTTCTATTATTCTTTGCCTATAGTCGATTTATATGGACTTCTTCTTCGGGGCTCGCTATGTGAATGAGTTTTATACACATTCAGTGTTGAATCCCGGTTTAAATCAATGTTAAAAGCATTTCCTATCAACAGTAGTAGCTATGACAAACTTCCGAGAGAATTTCTGCAAAAAAAGCTTATCGTAGAGGGTCTTTAATTTGTTTATCCTTTAATTTATTGAAGAAATAGCTCGACCAAACAAGCTAATATCTTTATTTAGTGCCCAGGTCAGTTTCGAATATTTCTTCTTAATAAAAAAAATATTATCAAAAAGCGAATGTTGTTTCTGATCAAATCTGCATAATAAATATTCAATTAAATTGTAATGGAGTCTGAACTTATTTTTAGTCGCATGAAGCAATACCCACCGTCTAAGCTTGAAATACGAAATAAGTACACAAAAAATCTTCACTCATAAAATAGCATTTAAAAATGTATTCAGTTATAAATTACATTCTATATATTATATAGTCACATGTGAAAGTTGTCCAAAAATTTAAATGACAACAATGAAATGTCACTGCTACTTGTGGAGAGATTTTTTTTTTTTAATTTTTATACCAGAGTAAAACTTGTTACCAGCATACCTTAGTGAAAGCTGAGACGATTTTAATCTCCATATTGTTTTGTATAAACCTCTTAGGGTTCAAAACAAAAAGGATATATGAAGGAAATTCGAAAGATAGTCGATTTATGGGATTGCGCAAGAAAAAGTGTGCATTTTCTTCTTCCACCACTACTGTTATGTACTGTGGGAACGATTAAAAATGATCAAAGCGAAAGAGTCTTGGACCTTGTATTCTATCTTGTCATATTGGCATTGTGTGATTTATGTTGACTACCCTATATATTATATTTCGTCCAGGTGATTGCTCCTTTTGTGAAATATTCGATCATGGCAACTCGAATTCGGAAATCCATAATTTCGATTGTGTTTCTCTAATGCTACAGGACTCGGCCGCGGGTACTATAGTCTTCTTCCGTCTGCACTATATGTTATATAATATTAACAATGACGTGTTGAGAGATTTGTAATGTTTTATTTACCTTTGCCTGTGAAATCCAAAATAGTATTAGTTGGCAAAGGTGATTCTACATTGGAGACTGACATTTTCGGTGTTCAGAGAAAATAAATTCATACAACAGTTAACAGTTACACGGTAGCCAAGAGTTGGGTATGCAGGCTATTTCCTTGATGATTGGGATATTTGGATTTTAAAGAATGAGAGGTCAGTACCGCGTTTAATGTTTTTATTGTAATGGGCTCAAAACGAAATGGTCACCCATTACGTTTTTCACAAGAGAATTGGGTTGAATGGGTACGTTAATAAACAAAATTGTCGCATTTGGAGTGGTGATAATTCACAAGCCATTGTTCAGAAGTCGTTCATCCTTAAGAACTCAGGGAATCATTGGTTCATATTTCTTCAAAAACGAAGCCGGTCATAATGTTACAGTCAATGGAGAACGCTATAGAGCCATGATTAATGATTTTTCTTGCCTGAACTAAAGGATGTTGATGACCGTTGACCTTGGAAGAGAATATTTGGCGCGTTATTGCTGACATACGGCTCCAATTACTGTCCGATCTGAGGAAGGGGACTACCTACATGCTAACATTTCTCGAAATTATTTGGGTTTCCTCCGAACAAAGTACGTTCTTACTTACATATATAATATTGTGCCGTTAGCCAAAACATTATAATTGCTTTCAAGCAAATATATTTAAAATTCTGATTAAAATTTAGAAAGTAAGACGAACCGACGACTTTGCTTGGTTATGTAAGATTTCCAAAAAAAGACTTATTTACATATTGCCATTTATTGTGAATGTACATATTTTGTTGTTGCTCTCGAATATGATTTTTTTGCCGTTATTCACAACACAATTAATTCTTAAATATTTCTTAATTACGTTAAAAACAATTACTGTTTTTATTTCGCGAAAGTGCTGCCACGCTTGCTATTGGAGACAAAGTGGCGCAGATTTTTTCTTGCTATTATTATTGTTATTATGGCAAAGAATCAAAAGCGTTGAAGAATTAAGGTTAACCGCTGCAGCAGCAAAAAACAATTATATGTAGAAATAAAAGTGAAATAAAAAGACGCCTCAGCTGAGCGCCGACCAATGACCACAGGTAGACTTTGCGCAAACTCGTTAAACCCGAACGCGGCTGGGTGTCCGTCGCCTTTGGACAGCATATGTGCGTATGGTAGGCCGCGTAAAGCGTCTTCAGGCACCCGATGTTGTATCTGACCGAGATTAAGCATCGTTTATTGGCGTAAATTGGCTTAATTAACTTCGTTTGTTGTTGTTTTCTTTTAGGCTGTTTTTTTCGACACAGCAGGCTACAGGGAAGAAAACAGCGAAAATGGGGAAATTAACGCACGCATCATATAAAAGATATGCGAAAGTGAAGTGTATGGCTTAGTTTCACGATTCTTGTGCGTTTGAGACGACGCCGTTTCTTACGCATGCGCAGTGGGTTTTCGTTCGCCGGCAAAGGTTTGTTGCAAATATTGAAATTTGTGTAACTTTTACAAAAATTCTTTAAATTTCATGCAGATGTTCTTTTTCGCACTGTTACCTCTGTTCTTCGTCGGCGCGCTCACGCAAACTGTGCAAACTGTACACGAACCCATGACCGAGCATATTTATTTCTATCCACGGCCCGGCGATGAAGCAGCGCACAACATTTACGTTAAGCCCACAGATCTTATAACGCGTCATCGTTTACAGCTTGTGACGGACTGGCCCTACCCTGGCGTCATGGGTGGCCAAGTACACAAACCCATCGATTTGGTCGCCACTGCTGAGGTCAGCTCCCAGCCTATTTACTTCCGGAAGCGCGACAATCTCGCCAATGTCAAACTCAAGCAGAAACAGAATATCTTATATCTACAATTGCCGATGTTAGCGCAGAGTAAACTACATATTCCTAACGAAAGTGAGAATAAAGTTTTGTAATCAAGTCAAAATACATATTTTTTTTATCAAAATTATATCAAATGCATTTTTATTTCGTTATCGCTTCATCTTTCCATACGACACACATATTACATATACGTATAAATATATATAAACCAATGATTTTGAAATCCTAACGACGTTTGCGGTAGATGTAACCACCGTTGGCACCGTAGGCGGTGTCAATACCGGAGTAAGAGGGCGCTGAGTACGAAGCGGCAGCAACTGGAGCTGAGTAAGAAGCAGCTGGAGCGGAGTATGTGGGTGCCGAGTACGAAGCAGCAGCAACTGGAGCTGAGTAGGAAACAGCAGGAGCTGAGTATGTGGGTGCCGAGTACGAAGCGGCAGCTACTGGAGCTGAGTAGGATGCAGCTGGAGCAGAGTAGGAAACGGAACGAGCTGGTGCAGAGTACGAGACAGAAACTGGAGCGCTGTAGGATGCAGCAGCAACTGGTGCTGAGTACGATGCAGCTGGAGCCGAGTAGGAAACGGAACGAGCTGGAGCTGAGTATGTGGGTACTGAGTACGAAGCGGCAGCAACAGGAGCTGAGTAGGAAACAGAACGAGCTGGAGCTGAGTACGATGTAGCTGGAGCTGAGTATGTGGGTACTGAGTATGAAGCGGCAGCAACTGGAGCTGAGTATGATGAGACGGAACGTGCTGGAGCTGAGTAAGAGACCGAACGGGCTGGTGCGAATGAAACTCTTGGAGCTGAAGCGGCAGCGACAGGTGCTGAGTAAGAGACCGAGCTGCTAGGCGCAGCGTAGGTCACACTGGGAGCAGATGCAGCTGTTGAGTAGCTTGGTGCAGCGTAGCTAACATGCTGTGTACTGGCTGCAGGTGGCAAGTACTCGGAAGAAACGGAGCTGGCAGCACCCGATGGTGGCAGGTAGGTGTTGCTCAGGTGGCTGACATCAGCAGCAACGCTGGCAATAACGGCGAAGGCAATAGCAACAAAGAATTTCTGAAAGCATTTAGGCATGACAAAGGATTAGATTGTGGTTATGATATTGAAAAATTAAAATATTATGACTAATCAAATCATTGCAATAAGGATTAAGTGTATAAGTATCCTACATATTCATTTTCTGAACTTTATCTAGTGTTCAGAGTTGCTTATGTATCCTCGAATCAACGGAAAATTTTGTATGAGAAATTATTTTTTTCATCTACATTTTTTAATTATTTTTTTTTTGTTCAAATAAAATTTTTTAATTCATTTTTTAAATTAATTATTTTCATTAAATTTTTTTAATTTAATTTTTTTTTTAAATTAATTCTTTTTTCCACAAAACTCTTTTTTAATTAAACACACTTTATGCACCGAAATGCAATTTTTCTCCTTTTATTCACACTAACCATTTTATTTTGGCTCCGTTAACGGTTGGCTACACTTAACTCAGACAAATTTCTTGAACTAATAACACACTTCCGTTCGCCGGCATATTTATACTAATTTCACCAGTCCTCTGTCCGTTTATTTGCATACAAATAGTCAAACGCATAAGTTTATTAAGAACCATGTAGATATTATGCTAATTTACCACAAATTCTGGATCCTGTACTAGCATTCAGCTCGTTTCATAAATAACTCGTAAAAAAGTAATCATCCCAATGACTAGTCGCTAAAAAATATGCAGCGAGTAGCACATTCAAAAAAATTCTATTATATATATACACACACATATACAAATATATATATATTTGATACGCTAGCAAAAAAGCAATGAAAAAAGTCTTTAATTTTAAATTGACATCAAAAATAATAACATTAAAAAGGCTTAAACTCGATTAATCACTAGTGAGCGCATGTGTAGAGGAGCGTCGTGGTTCGGCGGTAACGCATGTGTCACTTTGGCGGGTTGGCGTATTCACAGTTTATGGCATAAACTACATTTTAATTTGTATTAGCCATTGTAGACATGATTTATGCCTTTTGACTATCTTTTGTACTTTTTTTTTTGGTTTTTGGCATTATTTTCTTTGTCGTTTTTAAATAAAATAAAATTAGTAGTCAAATCCTAGCTATCTTTTGTTTGATGATCATTAGGGAATAATGCGAGATATTAGAAGTATACTTACGCAAATAAACTGTGTGACACAAGGTTTGCTCATAGTTTTCATGTTGTGTCAATTTTCTTCAAAGCAAGAAAAAACGTTAACTTTGGCTGGACTGAATTTTATTTTTCTATAGCATAAATAGCCTTTATTCTAGTTATATGCTACAGTAGTCCGTTCTTTTCGCAGTTTTTATAGTGTTGCTTTAGAAAATAATCTATGCAAAATTTCGTGAAGATATCTTGTCAAATATAAAGGTTTTCCATGCATTGACATGATTTTGAACGTTCAGTTTGTATGCCAGCTATATGCTTTAATAATTCGATATTGGCAGTTTCTGGTTTTATAGACTAGTATTAGCAGACTGAGTATTTACGTGGTATATTAATACCTTCAAATATCCATTTTTCGTGAGATTTTAGTATTGACGTTTGAAGTTCTCTTCTGATAACTTGGTACTAGACTACGTTATTGAACATAGGTTCAACATTATAAATATTACACATAAGCATTTCAGAAAGAAACCTATATGGCTTTTTTTCATATATTCTAAAAAATACAGAAACAACCTATGTGAGACCTTGAGTTGCTATTTAAATATAAAGAATATTTTGTGGAGATATTCCGGCATATTTGATATCACAAAAAGACAGCTTCTGCAGAGTCTATTTATGTTCATTATTTCCTGGAAATGGAATTTTTGCTACTTCTTACAGATATAAATATCTATAGCGTTCCCCATTGACTGTGACATTATGGCCCGCTTCATTTTTTAAGAAATATGAACCAATGATTCCCTCTGCCCATACAGCACACCAAACAGTGAATTTTTGAGGATGTATGGGCATATCAACAATGGCTCGGTTATTATTATCACTCCAAATGCGACAACTTTGTTTACTAACGTACCAATTCAACCAAAAGTGAGCCTTAGCGCTTGTCAACATTTTCTTGTGAAAATAGGAAAGTGCGACGCGGTCTATGGTCGTTCGGCCTCAATTCTTGCACGAGTTAGATTTTGTAAGCCAGAAAGCCAATATCCTTCCACAAAATCTTCCATAAAGTGGATGGGCCAGCTCCGATTGTTGCGCGCGATGTTGGATGGACTCATTCGGGTCTTCTTCGATACTCTGTTTCACAGCAGAACAAAAGTACGATGTAACAAGAGTCAATTGAGTAGTAGTATAGTAAATTGTAGCACAAATAGAAGGTTTACTCACCGATTTGAAAGTCCTTATAAATCTCTAAATAAATACAGCCTTAACCTTAAAATAGCTTTAATGATATATTAACTGATCTTCTATTTTAAAATCGAAACCCAGTGTCATGAGAAAGGCTTGCATCTTAACCACCTTTCTTCGAAGAATATATCAATTAAATGCCAAGTTCTTTGTAGCTCAGTGTAATCACCAGCAAATATATGAAATTTATGAGCAGAATTTTACTTGTATGGCTGCGAATTTCGCAACTTCATTTTTAGCTGACGAGATTATTATCCGGCAATTTCGCACCAATTAGTTGATTGACTAGTTTCCGAAAAAAGTGGAAATTGCTGTTCTACTTGCTGCGATTTCAATTTCAGTTATTCAAGCATGCGTTTTAGATGCCGATTATGTAGATGCGGTCGGTTAAACTGGAATATTTTCACCTACGAGCGCTGCGATAACCAGTGACTGTAGTGCGTGAATTGGAGAAATTGAAGTATTGAGATATTGGTAGTGAATGCATACTAAACGCTCTTTTCGGTGGCGCTTGCACGCGGAACGGAATTAGTAAAATTTAAATAAAATAAAAAATGTACAACTGACTTCATGAGGTTTTAGTTGAGTGTGGAATTTTTGTTTAGGTTAGTTTAAAGTTCAGTGTCTTTAGAGCTTGAACGTTAATTAGCTGGTTAAAGCTACGGAAGATGTATGGCAGAGCTTCTACAGCTCTTGATGCTGGAATAATTGAAATTATAGGATATATCTATAGCGAATTCTAGAATTTCTAAGACTGTTCTGAGACGTATGGGTTTCTGGATTAAGTCTTTTCATGTAAGCAGCGAAATCTGAGGTTTGTTTTGGCATTATATGACTAAAAGCTGGTTTCTTAGAATTTTTATAGCTTTGTAACGACTAGTTCTCGAACGCATGAGCGACATAGTGGCAGTGACGAACTCAACACACTCGGCCAATTTGTTCGATGCTTCGTTAGGCATATGTTGGCACACCTGGGATGCCTTCAAGAATTTATTATTTTTGGAATAAATCATTCCGTAGAGGAATTGTTAACCCTAAATATAACTGGAATCGTTTGAAATTAATCAATAAAACAAAATATTCGTTAATTTTTTTATGTATGTACATATGTATATGTGCGATTATTATTAACGCGATAAGTTTTTATTTACAAATGAGATAACAGTATAAACCAAAATTGTTATGGAACAACAAATTGACAGCATGGCGCTGACATCATGGCAATAAGATGCTATAAAAAGCTATTTAAATGATTAAATGCAAATTCGAATATTTAAAACTACAAAAACGAGCAACAACAACAGCTGTTGTGTGTGCTCACAATTCCTCCCTTCTGTCGACTATCTCCCACAGTTTATTTCGCTTTTCTGTAAACGTAACCGCCATTGCTAGCGTATTCGGTGCCGTAGTCTTGATTGCTAACTTCAGGCGCCGTTGCATGTGACGAGGCGTGGAAGCTTGGGCCAGCTTGTGATGCCAATGCTGGAGCAGAGGGAGTTTCATATTGAGGCGATTGGCTTTGAGAATTACGCCCTGATTGATAGTCCGAAAATATTTGTTCAACGGTTTGGCTCAAAACGGTGCCACCCGAACGGCTATGGTGGACTGGAATCGGTGCTGGAGCCGAATAGCTCTGTGTTGTTGGTGGCAAGTATTCTTGGCTTACCGAGGGATGCTGTGGGGCAGGAGCAGAGTACGAAGGAGTTGCTGCAGCTGAGTAAGAGGGACCCGCTTGTGTGAAGTGATATGGAGCTCCTGAAGCCGGGTAAGAAGGAGCTGGCGGAGCCGATTTAGGAGGAGTTGCTGGTCCTTGGTAAGAGGGGGTTGCTGAAGCCGAATAAGAAGGAGCTGCTGGTGTTTCGTAAGACGGGGCAGCTGATGCTGAAACCGGTGGTAGATATTCATTGTTAACTGGAGCTGGAGAGGGATACGACAGTTGTGCTCGAGCTGGGAATGAATCTATATTAGACTGTTGATTGACTGTTGGTTGCGCTGGACCAGCATGGTATTGTTGCACTTGCGATGGAGGTAGATACTCATTATTGATTGGAGCTGGAGCTGGTAGAGAGGCCAAATAAGATTGATGGCCAACTGGAGCTGCCGCTGGCGTTAACATAACTTGTTTCACTGGAGCTGGTGGGATGAATTTATTGCTAACAGGAGCTGGAGCTTGTCCAGAGTAAGACTCTTGTGCTGGTGCCGAATACGATTGTTGAGCAGGACCTTTTGAGGGAGAAGAATAGTCTTGGTTACCCTGTACTGCGGTGAATGATGGTTGTTTTTCGGGTACTGGAGGTAAGAATTGTTGATTTATTGGCGCTGGGGCGGGAGCCGAGTATGACTGTAGCGCTGGCGTTGAGTAGGATTGCTGAACTGGAGCCGAATAAGATTGCTGAGCCGGAGCCGAGTAAGACTGTTGACCCGGAGCCGAGTAAGACTGTTGAGCCGGAGCCGAGTAGGACTGTTGACCCGGAGCCGAGTATGACTGTTGAGCCGGAGCCGAGTATGACTGTTGAGCCGGAGCCGAGTAAGATTGTTGCGGTGGTAAATACTCAGGAGCAGGGGCTGGGGCAGGAGCTTCGTAAGTTTGCTGGTTTGGAGTTGGAGCTGCAACAATACTTTCTCCCTGATCACCTGAGGAGTTTTGTACCACAGTTTGTCTTAAGCCATCTCCCTCAGATTGTTTGTGTCCATGTTCATGCACTGTCTCTGCTGGAATTTCCTGCTGTGGAACTGAATAAGTTTGTGGTGCGGGTGCTGATATAGGTGGAAGATATTCCTTTGAAACTTGTGGGGCCGGTGCATAATTCTGCTTGGCAGGTGCAGAGAAAGATTGTTGAGGGGGTGCAGAATAGGATTGCTGTGGTGAGGGGTTGTAGCTACCCGGCTGTGGAGCGGGAGGCAGGTATTCGTTGGAAACTTGTGGGGTTGGAGCTGGGGCCGAGTAAGATTGCGGTGCGGGTGCAGGTACAGAAGCGGGTGCTGGAGCTGGAGATGAGTAGTTAACTTGCTCTGGTGTTGGGGCAAGTGCTGAAGCTGGTGGAAGGTATTCGTGCGAAGGTGCCGCTGGAGCTGAATAAGATAGTTGAGGTGGTGCCGAATACGAAGGTGCTGCCGGTGTTGGTGCTGGTGCAGGTGCCGAATAGCTTTGTTGATCTTCACCAGAATAAGATGGGCTTGGTGCTGCAGAGTGAGTTGGTGACACATAATTTTTAATGGGTGTTGCTACGGGTGATGGGGCACCAATATTGTAAGAATCATCATTTTGCTGCCCGCTTGAAGAAAAAGAGGAGCCTGACAACTGTGCTTGGTGCACAGGAGCTGGTGCTGGAGCCGGTGCTAGTGCAGGTGATGCGTACGTTTGCTGTTCAGGCGCTGGTGCTGGAGAACCGTACTTATAAGAACCATCATTTTGTTGTCCGAAACTATATTGAGGAGCTGGAGCTGGAGCTGGAGCTAGAGCAGGAGCGGCGTAGGTTTGTTCTATTGGAGTTGGAGCAGCGTATGATTGCTGAGGTGTGGGAGCTGGAACAGGGGCAGCATAAGATTGGTGTATTGGAGCTGATGCCGGTACTGGTGCTGCTGCTGGTGAGCCGTAGTTGTAAGAGCCATCATTTTGTTGGGCTGAGTGATGTTGAGGGGCTGGTGCTGGCGCAGGAGCCGGTAAAAGTGCACGGGCAGCGTAAGATTGCTGTACTGGAGCCGCTGCTGGAGCTGGCGCTGGTGCTACTGCAGGTGAACCGTAGTTGTAAGAGCCATCGTTTTGTTGCCCAACAGGGTGCTGAGATCCTGACTGTTGCTGTTTTTGTGGCTGATAGTTACTCTGTGGTGCCTGATAGTTGCTTTGTGGTGTCTGATAGTTGTTGTTTTGTGGCGCTTGATTGTTATCAGAGCCAGTTCCACTTTGAGCATGAGATTGGCCAGAAGCATAAACTGGAGCTTGCGCATAGCTTGTCTGTTGTGTTGGCACAGTGTTGCTTAACGAAAAGCTGGCGATGGGAATTGATCTAATAATCTCAACTCCGCTAGGTAGGAAGCTTTTTGGAGGGTGCTGGTATTGCTGCTGCTCTTGTTGTTGTTGAGCCGGTGGTTGATATGGTGCAATAGCGGTATCGACGGAAACGTGTTGCGCATCTTGACTGGGTGGTAGATACTGGTTATTAGAGAGATGGCTAACGTCGGCGTTAACTATTTGGCTGGCTACCAGCAATATGCTGAGAATTGCAAAAAAATTCTGTGACAAAGAAAGTGAGTAGAGTTTTAGTTGTTTGTGCGAAGCTTTTTTTAATATGATATTGTAGTTATTAATTTATGTAAAATGGCATGCAAAATTAAATTCTTTCACAAATATATTTAATATATTAGTCAGCTTATAGTTATATCATGGACAGGGTATATTAAATTTGTCACGAAGTTTGTAACACTCAGAAAGAAACTTCGGAAACCTTATAAAGTCTATATGTAATTGATCAGCGTAATGAGCAGAATCAATTTAGCCATGTCCGTCCTTACGCAAACTAGTCACACAGTTTTCGAGATATCGGTCTGAAATTTTGCACACGCGCTTTTCTCCATAAAAAGCTGCTCGTTTGTCAGAACCGTCAATATCGGACCACTATAAGATATAGTCGCCATACAAATTGAACAATCGGAATCAAGTTGCTGTAAAGAACATTTAGTATTTGTGAAGGGTATTAACTAAATTATAAAAACAAAATTTTTTTGCCTTATGAAAGTTAGACTTAATAACTTTTTATTTCACATTTTTTAAATATTTTTCAACAAGTAACTGTAAACATCAAATTTACGATTTAACAATCGAATTTGATTTGTTGTAACTACAACTTTTAAGGATATTTTTTTTTGGAAACACTTCAACAATTTTAGCCACTTAGAACGGTTAATATTTCATTTTCATTTTTTTGTTACAAAACCTCACACACACACACGAACAAAGTAACTGCAACAACACATTTAATGTTATTAAAGTTGATTAAGTTTTTAGTTACAGGTAACCGTTCATAGCTACTGACCATCTTCACTGGGCTGCCACTGCGTGGTTAACTAGACGATTGAAGCTCTGCAACTGATACTCCAACCCAAAGCCTCTTGACCATTTATAGACCACCTCCCTACTCCAGAGCGGCTTTGACCGCTAAGCGTCGATCATAACTGTCGTCAAGCGATACTAACTAGCTGTGCGTGTGTATGTATGTGTATGTGTGTGACCAGAGCCAATTCAGTGCCAAGTTCGCGAACTCTGTGCCGGCCAGCTGCCTGCCCTCTGCCCAGCTGCATTATGATATCTGCCTACCAATACGAATAGAAATAGCAAAAACCACGACACACACACATTCTCACACGTTTTGACATATGTAAATGACTATTAACAACAACGCATTTCGCTATGTTCATTTCACACAATTTGCATTTGCATTTCTGTTCGGCTTAATTGGTTGATTATCAAGACGATGCCACGACAGACGCAACAACGCAGCGACCCAACGGAACGAAACGGCCACACATTAAGTGTAATAATAGTTCAGTGGTCTAATGCTTAGCTTAATGGCTAGAAGAAGTTTTCAGCCGCTTAGTTGCCACCTAATGGTCGATTCGTTGCCCGCAATGTGTCAAAGCTGTGCAACAAATTTACAAAAATGCTGAATATTAATATATTACATTACGCATAAGTGCCGAGAATTGTTGTTGTAATTTTTTATGTTGTTGCTACTACCACTGCCACTGCTATAACTGGGGTGTAGCTTAAAGTTGATTGTCTTATTAATTTATTTCTCTAGTTGTTTGCTGTCCTCCCCTTCCTATTGCTTCATTCATTCATCTTTATTTATTTAATTTTTGATTTTCGTAAATTTTTTGTTTATTTCGGAAGAGAGACGAAGGTGCCGTCTTAAAATGGGTTAAATGAAACTTTTTCACACAACATCACACATACATACATAAGTACTTGCCACAGCTAATTTACAATCGAGTGCACAGCGCAAGCGCATTGATTCGCTCGCCCATTTCTCGCTATGCTAATGAAGTTTGAATGTTTGAAGCGCACATTCATACAAAGAAACAAAATGAAAAGGATATGGTTATTGTTACTTTTGTTTTAATCAATTTTAATTTCATGCGATTTGGAAATAAATTTGTGCAAATGAACGTACCGATATGTTGAATTAGATAGTTGTCGTTACCATAATTATAACGAGCCCAGCACAGTCGGTAATTCGAGCAATCACGAATAGGTTTCGCAAGACGTTTACTCTTGTAAATAATTCGCATCCTCAGAGATGCCGTATAGTGCGCACCGAAGACACTATGGCTGTCCATCCATTTTAAGGAAGATTTTTTGGAAGGAACTTAGTTTGCGGGCTTACAAAATCCGCGGTCACTTGCAAGAAATAATTTTTAAAACAAAACGGCAAACTCTTATTTTTATAATAAAGCAAAATTCTTGGCAATAACATTAAATTTTTATTTCTTCTTGAAAACCATATACCGTTCTAGTACCGCATAAACTAAATTTTAAGATTTTCACCAAATTTGACATGAACCAATGCCTAAGGCAATTGTGCAATCGCCGATGAAATCGTTCTGATTGGATCGGTATAGCATATAGCTGCCATACAAACTGAACGACGGAATCAAGTTCTTGTAGGGAATCTTTCGTATTTGTGAAGGGTATTAAAGCTTCGTTGCAACTGAAGTTTAATATAAAGTTTGGCCAAGACAAGGAAATATTTTGCGAGAGTATAAAATCTTCATCTGCACCCAAACTTAGCATTTTATTATTTGCTTTCACTTATTTTACATTTCACTGCAGTGATGATTTCGCCATTTCTGTTCGTGCGACACATGCACGAGTATGGCATTACCGATCGTAGCGTGCCGATTTAATCGTTATGAATTTGATTTTACAAAAGTTGGCGCAAAAATGCAAATTAACGTTTAATAAATTACAAAAGCTTTTTTATCAAACAAATACAAAAAAAAATATAACAAATAAATAAAAACGCAACGGATTGGGTTAGATCTTAGGTGTTTATTAAGTATCTGTTGAAATAATTTTGCATATCAACTGTGATTATGAGCACGCAGCAGCTGACTGCGCGCATGTACTGCGGTCACAAAGCTACAAAATATGTATGTGTGAGTGTGTGTTAGAGCTTGCCAAATCGACAAAGCCCGAAATTATTAATTTCCGGCGCATGTCGCTAGGGCAAATTAATTTACAACCAGGATTGTTCAAATAGCTTCACCAAATATTTTCGCACATTTTCGCCAATTGTCTTCAACTCCGCTAAAAATCGGGTCAAAACGTTTGCGATGCACAGTTTTCATAATTTTAAACAAAAATAAAATGTCATTTTAAATTTGTTGCGATGGCGCTCTTATCGCCTGTAATGCTCGATGCTCAGAGCCTTTATCGATCGATGAAAGGTGTGGCGATTTACGACGCTGTGTACATATGTACGGGTATGTTTGAGTGTGTGTGTTTGTGGAGCCATAAGTGGTTGGCGAATTATTTGGTTTTGTTTTTAGTCTTTTACAAATCACTTAATCATTTGAGATGTTTCGACTCTTAATTAATTAAAAGGTTTAACTCTGGGCGATTAGATAAACTTATTGGCATATGACCTTAAGCAATTAAGTGGCTTGCGCGTGGCTTTGTTTGAAAATGAAATGAAAATGAAGTTAATAAAATTTCAGCTCGCAAACTTAATTTTTTTTCATGTAACTCAATTGAATTTTGAATTGAAGCAAACAAATTAGTCTATATTCCGGTATCTCCTAAAAATATTTCGTTTATGGAAACAATAGTAAATGGGCTGACAACTTCGTGCATGGTTGTCCAAGCTTCAGCTGCAGATTTAGCGTGAGTCTTCATCTTATTCAGCAAAGCAACAATTGTACAGTTGGAGAGCTCTATTACAAACTTTTTCGTGACAAAAACACTCTAGAAGCTCTAACGAAAGCTTAATACTATAGGAAAAAATGTTACTCCAAAAGTTTAGCAAAAAGGGGCGGGTCTAGAACAGTATCTGGTATGTGGCTGCTGGATAATTCAAGGACGATTTTCACCCATTTTTGCAGCAACTACAGTTTGTCTAAGATATATTATATTTCCATAGTGTCCGATATATAATATATTTTACAATATTAATATAGAAAATTGCAGCCTTCGTATATAAGATATATTTTTTTGCTTGTGCATGCTAACATATATACATACATGTTCATTTATTTATATATAATATATTATATTAAATTTTTCGTATATCTCATTCACAAAATAATTGATCTTTCTCCTTTTTTTATACCCTGAACAGGATATACTAAGTTTGCCACGAAGTTTGTAACACCTAGAAGGAAACGTCGGAGACCCTATAAGATATATACATAAATGATCAGCATGATGAGCTGAGTTGATTTAGCCATGTCCTATCCGTCTGCCTGTATATATACGAACTAGTCCTTCAGTTTTTAAGCTATCATTCTGAAATTTTTCACCTATCCTTTCCTCACTAAGATGCTGCTCATTTGTTGGAACGATAGCATATAGCTGCCAATTCACAAAATTTGGCATGAGTTATTTCCTTAGGCAATAATGCAATCTCCGAAGAAATTGTATAGATTGGATGACTATAGCATATAGCTGTCATACAAACTGAACAATCGGAATCAAGTGCTTGTATGGAAAACTTTTTTATTTGACGAGATATCTTCACGAAATTAGGCGCGAGTTATTGTTAAAGGCAATAATGTATGCTCGAAAGAAATTGTTCAGATTAGAACACTATATCATATAGCTGCCATATAATTGAACAAACGGAAACAAGTTTTTGTAAGAAACTTTTGTATTTGTGTAGGGTATTATTGCTTCGGTGTAACCGAAGTTAACATCTTTTTCTTGTTTTATATCACCGATTAAATATTATTTAAATACAATTCGTATATTACTCAAACAGTTGATTAAAATGTTGACAGATGTCAAATTTCACATGTCAAATCAATTAGTTAAACATTAATAGAAGTTAGTTGTAATAAAAAAGGTGTTAGCTTGGGCTTATGAGTGTTGAAAATAGACAGATACACTCCTACGAATATGTATTCCATATGGTATATAATATACTTATGTATATTCATGTTTATGCGAATATATTTATCTGTTTGCGTTTTTATAACCTAAGGTCATATGTAAATCGGTACAACAACATACATATGTTGATAATTGTACATGTGCATAAATCGGTTAAATTATGCACCTACTTACATATATTTGAGTAAAAAACGTGTTTAGGCACAAAATCCCACGTATATATGCAAATGTGTATGTCAGTTTATGCGAACTGAACCAATAAAATTCAATTGGTGACATGTTTGTGTTATAAAAGTGGATTAATTTGTGCGTTTTCGGCTTAATGGCTTGAGAGATGCAACAAAATAAAGAAAAATTGTAAAAGCTTCAATAAATAAATCTCATTAGGTGGCAACATCTCTATCTTTTGATTTGGTAATTGGGATTTTGATGCCTTGTGCAATTTACATATATTTTATTTTTATTGATTTACTAATTTTGTTTTTGTTCATTTTTTGGAGTTTCGAAATTTTAAACTTATAGGCCTGATTTAGATGTGACGATATTTTATTAGGTGAGAATCATGTGCATGAGGGAATCACATACTCGTATATCTTTCCACAAATAAAAGTAAATTTTGCGGTTATCAAATCGCCTATAAGCTAAGAAGAGAAAAATTCATTGCGCTAATGCTCGGGTTTTATTATGTCAAATTCAATGGCATTGTTGTCAAATCGCTAAAGTGATTGTAATTTAACTTTTATAGTAATTTAAAATTTTTAAAGATGTTTCTCGATGTTCCATTTGAAGTACCACCTAATTGTACTATTGTTTAAGCAGATTATATTTTCGTCATTAAATTTGACAAGTGAAAACCGAGCAGAAAAAACTTTTCATATTTCGCAAAAACTTTAAATATACTCAATGTAAATAATATAGAAAAATTAATTGGCAATAAAATTGTCGCAACCATAAATATGTGTGGAAAAATCAAGACTTTCATTACCAACCATATTATATGAATGAAATTTAATTTAGATGAGGTGTCCTCGGCATGAAAAACTATGATCCGAAGCATACTTGCTCATTACACTTAATATACATAAAAATGTGTTAAGAAAATATGAAATCTGCTCAATTATAATCTTCGGTATATCGTAGCCTTCAATATGATCTATATAGCTCTTCCCTTGGCATTATTAATTACGGCGTTCATCCAAAATAAGAGCATAACCTAAAAAATTAAGTATGGTCATGATTATGACGGCGGTCAGCTTAACGAAGTTTTTGTATTCCTAACTACTAGCTGAATAGTAATTCAAAAAACTAAGGATGAGACCAAAAACCTTCTTGCCAAATTTTTGTCAAATATCTGCGTTTCATTTTGATATGAAAATATTCTTCATCGAAACTAGCAGTTCTTCGAGTGAGTACAAAAACTTGTAAGCTTCTAAATTTGTTGGATAACATGGAGTAGTTGAGTTAAGGAACTCGGCCAGACTTCTAGTTCAATTATGAGCCTCAGCTGAGCAATGTACTTATTACTGCTTAAGAGATACTTTTGCTTAGTAGTAGAAGGTGACAGAGATCTGTGTAAATTTTTATCAAAAGTCAATTCCGAGATCTTTTTTATATTCTATTAGATACTACCAGTTTTCTCAAAGCAAATACAACCCGCTTATTCTTAATGACAGTACTGAGTAGATATAAGCCTCTAAAAGCATGAATGCTGACTCGTAAGACCGATGAATTAACAGCGCATATTGACTTGGAATTCGCTGTTAACTTTTCGAACTTTTAGTTTGGTTGAGAGTAGAAACACCCCCAAATGATCAGATCTGAGTTATTTAGTTTGGCTTAGATGCATCGAATAGTAGAAGAAACGTTGATATACATACATGCGTTATAGGCATTTGCGATTATTTAAGCGGTGCAGTACCAGAAGACGTGTAAATGAAATATTTATTTGTCTTAATCATCTTAATCGATAGATATAAGTATGTTTGAAAATTATTGCAAATTTCAAAAGCCGATCTTAAAAATTGTGGAACATTTGCCACTTTAAAATGGTTGACGGTGAGCCGACCGAACTTTAACTTTTTAACCCAAACTTTAAACGGCGTTATATCGAAGCATTGTTTTTCCAAAGGGATTTCGGAAAAAGTAAGAAACCAATTTTTATTTGGAAGGACATAGAAAACTAGTCTATATAGACTACGGTCATAAAGAAAGAAACCAATTTTTTTGACCATTTTGAACGCGATTAACGAACACGAACACACAATAATCAACGTAACACGACTTACGCGAACTATAAAAACTCACATAATTTTTTGTATTTAATAAATTTTTTGCTTTTTATTTAAAAATTGTTTTAAATATATATGATATGAATTTAATTTGTACCTTTTTCAATTTCCAAAAAATAAATCGTGAAAAAAATACATTCACGGCTTCTACGGGTACTTCCCCTCTTAAAAGGAGAAACACACACGCAGAAAATAGTGTTGGTTAAAAATTGTTTGTTATGAGACAAAAAAAATTATTTATTTAGTAGCTTTTACATTATATTGCCATGATGAGGCCTATGCCATAAACATATTTAGAAAAACACAACACACTTACTTTAAAAGTGGTATATCTACGAGTACTTTAGCCATCTACATATTGCCATGATGACCATGGTCATAACAATGAATTAACCCACACCATTCATTCATTGAAACCCGAAACAAGTTGGGTATGAGAGATGTAAAAAATAAATAAAAAATTGCACGCATGATTGGCGACAAAGCATAAGTCCAAATATGCTTGGAATTAAATTATTGACTTGAAACGGTGGAGATTGGCGTGAAGCGAAGAATTGCCGCCACATTTGTGTTCCAACGTCACACCTGATGCGCTAATCGAGGTCATGAAGTGGCAAATTCCAATTCATAAAATAACAACTAACTTCGAGAATAATCGCCAGAGAGAGAGAAAATGAGTGAGAGAGGGCATGAGGCAGATAGATGGTTCACAAACTTTCGGCGTAAACTGTACTTTGTGGCGATTACAGTGGTGAACGTAAAACGTTAGTAGCTTTCAACTAAAAAAAGAAACAAAAAAAAAAAAAAATGGGTCACGAACTAGTCTCACCAACTGTCACCTATTTGTTAATATTAAACTCATTTTACGCTGTGAAAATATATGTACGCCCAACACGCTTTACAGTTATTTCGTAAACACGCAACTTGCATGAATTATTGAAGATATATTCACACTCACACAAATATTAATATTTTTCAAATAAATAATTTATTCAGCAGAAAAATGAAATAGAAATGTTTTACATAACTGTAAGTGTTACACTTTCGCATTGTTTCGTCCGCCGAGTGCTAAAATACTAATTGATTCCGCGCATTAAAAGCCTCCAACTATGGAAAAATTAGCATTAACTTCGTAAAAGAAGAAGAGAATAATAAAAAACACATAAAATCAAATAAAAATCATCTTAAAGTAAACACGTAGTAATTCCAAAATAGGAATGGGAAAAAAATTATGTGGGCTTGTCGTAGACATAACCACCGCTTGCGCCATAAACTGTATCGCTGGCTATGGGCGTTGCTTGCATACGAGGGTTAAGACCGTCTACGGGCTGTGGTTTGTTGAAATCGCCGCCGGACTGTTGCTGTGAAGCTGTTTGGTAAGGTAAGCCTGGAAAACCGCCCGCTTGTGATGGGAAGATTTGGCCGGGAAAGCCTTGTCCTGGAAAACCGGCTCCCGGAAAGCCCTGTCCTGGAAAGCCTTGGCCGGAGAAACCCTGTCCAGGAAAGCCTTGTCCAGGGAAGCCTTGGCCAGGAAAACCCTGTCCAGGAAAGCCCTGTCCTGGGAAGCCCTGTCCTGGGAAGCCTTGGCTAGGGAAACCCTGTCCAGGAAAGCCAGCTCCCGAAAAACCCTGTCCTGGAAAACCTGCACTCGGAAATCCTTGTCCCGGAAATCCTTGTCCAGGGAAGCCTTGTCCTGGCAAGCCCTGTGACGGGAAGCCTGCGCCAGGAAAACCTTGTCCAGGGAAACCTTGTCCCGAGAAGCCAGCACCCTGAAAGCCTTGTCCAGGGAAACCCTGTCCCGGGAAGCCAGCTCCTGTAAAACCTTGTCCCGGATATAGTGGTCCAACAAAGCTGGGTGGAAATCCAGCGCCTGGAAAGCCACCAATACCAGGTTGAAAGAATGGATCGCTTACGGATTCACTGGAGGCGTTATCATCTGTGAAACTTTGCTTTGCTATTGTAATGGGATCTTTATCCAGCGATTGCTCGACATCCCTTAGAGCATGTGAGTTGCCATTGGCCGACTCGTCGAGTAATATAATATCCGGTTGCTCGTGTGGAACTGCAACATGTTGCACTTGTGGTTGGTGCGGCTTTGCAGGTTCAATTGCATGTGGTTTACTATGGTGGGGTGGCAAATATGCGCGACTCAAAAGGCTGACATCGGCGATACTCAAAGCAATCAAAGCGTGGAAAATAAATAATTTGGAAAACTGGCAAGCAAAAATCACGCCGTTAAATTTGAGTTTCCAAAAAAAATATACTCAAAACTTACCATTTTATATTTCGTGAGCGCAGTCGTGCCGCTTGCGTGTAGAACTTAGAATGTATACTAAATTTATGTTTCTGTGAGTTGGCTAGTTTTATAGTTTTTCTCCGTTGTAAAGTTATTCAATTCTTAATGCTTCTTTTTCTGCTTTCTTCACCTCGACTTTCTTATGTCAATATCTGTGATTTTTAGAACACTATTAAAGGGGAATAGCGATTACTTAAATAGTAGATAATTTCGCGTAGGTCGCCTAGGTAGTTTCTTTGATTCTTAAACATTCATATTATCCCATAAATGTACATTTTTGAAATTTCGCTGACCTTTTTCTTCTTTCATAGCATTAACGTAAAGAGCTAACTTAAAAATCTAAAGAGCGTGCCTCCAAATTGATGCTCTGTATTCGTTGATTGGCGTCTTTCTATTATCTTCGTCATTTTGAAGATTAAGTTCAGTTGTTTGCACGCTTAATCAGTCAATCTTGATGTTTTCTCTTGCCCAATTTCCATATTACAGCATCTTAAATTAATAGTTTTGCATTAACTTTATTTTACTTTTGGCAAATGTTGGCAGAAGCCTATGGCAAATTAAATATAACAGAATAATAAATTAGTGTGCGTAGAGCAGAGTCTGCGAATGTTTAGTAGACTAGTCTTTTATATAATTTTGTTTTCGCAACAACTTCTTCATATTGCATAATAAAGGGAATTCGCAATTCAAACTTTAAGCGCCTAAAAGTAGACAACTAACATACATTCCTACATGTGCTCTATCTCAATTTCAATAAAGAACTAATTTTTGAATTAAATTGGTAAAACTTTAACGAGGCTAATTTACTAAATTTCAATTAATTTCCGACGGTTGGCAATTGCTGAATCGGTATCGCTAAAATTTATAGCAAACGGCCCATAAAATTAGTAAATTCAACATATTTTCTTCTTTTTAAAAATTTCTAAATTTTCAGTATCTTTCGAATATCATCCGCTCGAAATTCAAATATTTTTGGGATTAAATTAGCTTTTGTCCCGAAGTCATGTAACAGAAATCTAAAAAGTACATACCTATATAGAACAAATTTGAGTAAAAAAGTGGGAATGGGCAGACACGATGTGGTTCCGAAAGTTTGGCAAGGAGGAGAGAACTTTTGATAATCTAACGAAGATCAAAGAACTTTTATAAAAAATAGCGCTGAGCACCTTTTGATAATGTCAAAAAAATTAATTAATTTTTTAAAACAAAAATTTCTTTTATTCAAATAACAAGAAATATCTACACTATTTATGCTATTCAAAGTGAATGGGTATAAAGTGTTTATATGATTTAAGGATGATATACCTTGAGCAATTCAACAATAAACAAAATATTGCCAAGGTATTCTATTTACAAAAACGATTTGACTGATCGCAGTTCCAAGCGATTTATAATTTTTTGTAGATGTAGCCACCGTTGGAGGCATACTGGGTGCCAGCATTGCCGCCAGAGTATGATGGGCCAGAAGCACGACCGCTGGAGTAACCACCAGCACCGCTGTTGTAGTAAGAGCCACCGGCACCACCGCTAGAATAACTGCCAACACCGCCACTCGAGTAACCGCCAACACCGCCGCTTGAGTAACCACCAGTTCCGCCGCTAGAGTAACCACCAGCTCCACCGCTTGAGTAACCACCAGCACCGCCGCTAGAGTAACCACCGGCACCGCTAACTCCACCATATGAGTATCCGCCAGCACCGCCGCTAGAATAGCCACTGGTACCGCCGCTTGAGTAACCACCAGTTCCGCCGCTAGAGTAACCACCAGCTCCACCGCTTGAGTAACCACCAGTTCCGCCGCTGGAGTATCCACCAGCACCAACGACACCACCGCTTGAATAACCGCCAGCACCGCCGCTCGAGTATCCGCCTCCGTTACCGCCTAAGAGTATGATGGACTAGAGTAGACTGGAGCTGGTGGTGAGTAGCTTTGTACAGGTGGCAAGTATTCGTTGGACGGACCAGCAGCACCACCTGAAGTGTAAGAACCGCCAGCACCGCCTGAAGAGTAAGAACCGCCAGCACCACCTGAAGTGTAAGAACCACCAACGCCGCCTGAAGAGTAAGAGCCACCAGCACCATCTGAAGAGTAAGACCCACCAGAACCACCATTAGAGTAAGAACCGCCGCTGGAGTAACCGCCAGTACCAACGACACCACCGCTTGAATAACCGCCAGCACCGCCGCTCGAGTATCCGCCTCCGCTACCTCCTAAGGAGTATGATGGGCCAGAATAGATTGGGGCTGGAGCTGGTGCAGAGTACACTGGAGCAGGTGGTGAGTAGCTTTGTACAGGTGGTAAGTATTCGTTGGACGGACCAGCAGCACCACCTGAAGTGTAGGAACCACCAGCGCCGCCTAAAGAGTAAGAGCCACCAGCACCACCTGAAGAGTAAGAACCGCCAGCACCACCCGAAGAGTAGGATGGACCACCATAATTTGTAGAGGGTGCCAAGTATTCAACTATTGGAGCCGAAGCGGGACCATGGCTCTGTCCCTGACTGTGTCCACCCTGGCTAGGTGATAGGTATGATCTCGACAAATGGCTGACATCAGCCGAAGCGATGGCGACCAACGCAAGAGTGACTACAACGAAGAGTTTCTGAAATGATGGTATAAATTAGAGTTAACATAGAAAGTAGGAAATTAAGCAGATTCGCAGAACTCCTTTGCGTTAGAGAGCTACATCTAAGTTTATTTTCTTTTCTTCACGATATCTTTAGTATTTAGAATGATATTATATTTTCAGTTGTTTTATTGAGTTCACCTACCATTTTGCTCCGATGATTTTTTACGTTTTTTTTCGAAAATAAAGAGACTACTTTGCTGTACGAGGAAACCGTTGGAACTGATGCCCTTTCACCAATTGTTTCATCAATTTATACAAAAAATGTTTGCTTACACGCTTAATTATGTTTTTGCGGCACAAATCACCTCCGCCAAACACACACTCACACATTACTACCGTTAAACGTAATGCGACCTCTGCAATCACATAACATTTTGGCGTTGAAGTTAGGTTCGCTAAACGAGTTTCGATGATTTACATTATGTAGTATGTACAAGAAATGTGATATTGCTTCACAATATCACCAAAGAGAAAATACAAAACACAAATGCCAATAAAACTGCCAATAAAATAGGTGAAAAGAGTAGGAAAGTTGATTGAAAAGATTAAACGAATGAGCACAGTTGGTGAGTGTTTCACATTTTAATTCCCAAATCACCGTCAAAATATTATGGGAAATAGTGATTGTTCGGATTTCTTTACTATTACTATATTATTATTTCCCCACAGGAATGGAAATATATTTTTCATATCTCCCTACTATTGCTTAACCTAAAATTACCGCAAGGGAGCAGTTTTTGATGGACTTGAAGTTACTACTTTGTTGGTATACAAACTTCGTGTCCTTCGTCCTTTTAGATAAACGTTCAGAGGGATATACAGTGGACAACTCGAATTAATATTCTTTGTTTTGTACTGAATCAATGATCTCATGGGTACAAACTAATATATAAAGTTGATCAATTTCAGTATATTCAACATTGGTCAGATCAGGGGGCTTGAAAGTATGGATCCCGGTGTAACTACGAATATTTTAGTCGGCCACCGAACACTCCGGTGTTAAGTGAACTTAGCTCCGCAACTCGTTTTTCTCGGAGAATTAATACCAGCTTGGAATAACAAAGCCATGATATTTCATGCAGAACCAAAAAACTATTAAAAATAATTATTTGGACCAAATCCCACATCTGGCCGGCTTTGGGCTAAGATGACCATGCAAAATGAAAATTCTATTCAACTCTATTAATTTATGTGTTGCGAAGACGACTTTTCCAATAAAAGCGTAAAATTCGTTTGATCTCCGCCTCTCATATATTCGGGGTTGTGCACTGTACTTGATATTTTTTACAAACTATTGGACTGCGGTGTTGCCAACTAATTATGTTTCACAATAAACTAATATAATTTTGATGGATTAAATCAGTCCACAACCAAAAAGTAGGCAACATTATTTTAATTGTCAAAGATAAAACACGTTTAAGTTTCAACACCGTATCCCCATTTACAAAGTCCTAGTAACTGGTTAATCCTTTGTAGTTCTACATTTTTTGGGTTCGTTCGATTTATAGGTCTACAATTTCCAATTTAAACGTAGCGATTATTCTTATCTACCTCCTAAAATAATAGCTCATATTTCAGTTAACTTCTTCAAATTTTTCCAATTTTAAAGTGTACTAAGATTCCCCATGCAACGTAAAATAAAAGGGTTGCCTTTTATATTTCGAGGTTAGAGAAGAAAAACAAATTTTAATCAAGTAAAACCATTTTATTGTTTTTCAAAATATTCTTCATTAAGATCCGTACACTTTTGTAAGCTTTTGAATCAACTGTAAAAGCACTTTTACCACTCTGATTGAGGTACCCCCAAAACATGTGTACTGCACGTATCAACCGCCGCTTCATGTGTCGTAAAACTATTAGTATTTTTTTAACATTTCTCTGTTGCTGAGTTAATCCACGTCAGAAATTGTAAAAACAATCGCGCTAAATTTTCGCGATTTAATTCCATTTTTTGGCAGAGATGAATAATTTAAGTTACTGTAAAGCACATAAATAGCGCTCGTATGTCAAAAAGTTCTGAGTATGCACATATAACATCAAAAATATCACACTTTAAAATAAAGTCGTGAGTTGCCAGATTGCAACAGTAGGATTGTTAATATCGATATATGAAAGGCAACGTACATACTGAAGGAAAGTTATACAAATGGCAATTCCTTTTACCGAAATTCATCCATCTTTACGTAAATGTTCTCAATAAGAATTTTTACCGAATACCTACCCTAGAAACTGAGGTTTATTAATTCATGATAGGGATTTACGATCGATTCTTAAACAAAGAGATCGCATCCCATTGCGTGCCTGAAGGATCAGATAGCACATAATCAAACAGCTCCAAAGTAGACAAATAATGGGGAAACATTATCAAGCTCTACCGAGGAAATACTACAGCCAACGGCATATGGATAAAAAAGTATGGGCGCTGTACCCCGCTAAATGTGCACCACATAATGCTTGACGTTTGTAAATTTCTTCAACACATGTGAGATTAGTGGTTAAAACGTGTAGCTGCTCAGCCCCTAAAAGTCCGGGCAATCACTCGAGCCACCGATGCGCCCATGCATATTATGCATTTATGTATTTAGTTTTGGCGCGTGTGCTGCCTCGATAGGACGCACAGTGGAAATTACTGCCGCGAACTAAAAACGCGCGCTTGTCGATGCAAATTTTTGCATTTAAAGCTGCAAAATAACAAGAATTAGGTTTTATTTCATTTTTTTATAAAAGCTTTTGCTAATATGGTTGATGTGCCATGACATCTGGCGGCTATGTCCCCAAGTGGCCAAAAAAGTCAAGTCAACTAAACGATTGTATATTAAACATATGTTAATTTAAGTTATTGATGGCGAATGAAGGCGAATGCGAAAATAATAATGTTATAAGTTATCATAAAGTTGTCACATTTCTTCTTTTGCCAAAATCAAAAAAAGTTATTAAAGTCAACGCGCCGAAAAGGGAGTGTCAGTCGTAAGCGCTGTGACGAAAAGTTAAATTTACAATAAAACAAAATAGAAAAATTAAAACGTTTCAAATCAACAAACGGTGTCAAACTTATATCAGCTGGAGTAAGACGCCGTAACGCAACAAGCATAATTTAGCATGTAAACGGTATTTGTAGTTTAGTAACTCAGCGCTGATGGGTTGAGGCCCAAATTAAAGTGATTTAATGGGGGCACTAGAGCCTAACGATGTCTGTGCATGACTCTTGTTGGTTCTAAATAAGCTTCTCAAAGTAGTAAAGCATTACCGAGTATTAATAAAACAAATTTTTGTTATTACTCACACAGCCACACACCATCTGAGCTGCGAACTCAATACTGTCAACACAGCAACCACCCTACAAGCACACAAAGTGCGCGCAGTCCAAACCGTATTGCACTACCGGCAAACTAGCCAAGATGCGTCGCTTAGTCGCCTTGCTGACTAGCTTTGTTTTTGGTAATACACATAGCCGCTTCATGCACGTGTTAGCGAACATTGGCGCATGCGTTTACAAATGAACTGTATATGTGTGTTAATGGTGCGCTCCGATGACCTATTGCCTACTTAACGCCGCGCTCATTTGAGACTCGAAAATTAGCTAATTCAAATAAATAAGAAATAAAAAAAGTCAATTAATGCATAATATAAATTATATAGGGGCGATTAAATGCATGTCAACTTTGGAGTTTGATTATATTCGCTTTATGTATATTTCTTGCTCGTCTTCATTGAATTTCTGTTCGGATTATATGCATTTCTTTGATAGTCTGTTTTTTTGTATAAGCTCATTAAATGTTTCGCGACTTGTCACTTTGTCACACATACTAATTTGTCTTTTCAAAACTTATATAATTTGTTTGTCATCCCCAAGTGCTTGCGGGTCAAACAATAAAAGCGACGATAGCGCCATCAGCAATTACTCCACTTTCTTAGATGCGGAAATACCGACTTGATGAGAAATCACGTGCACGTCTTGCTGTGAACCGTGAAGAGGTAGTCGAGCTGTAAAGGTACAGCTGATGCAAAGTAAAGTCGAAATTATAATGGTTCTATTTTCGTAATGGAATTTTAAAAAATTTTAGAGAAAAGATTTTTTCATAAAATATTTTTTAATATGGAGCACAAATTTCGCCTAACTCTTCATCATATAAAATAATATATCTTTTGTCTTTTATTTACGTGGATTCGCCGCAAAGTACAATATATTCTTTTAAACTTTAACGTTAAATTTGTTGGAACTAATCACCTAACCAAAAGGTGAGATTGAAAGCTTGGTTTGGACGAAGAGGCTCGATTTTTAATCTGTCACAAGAAAGGAAATATTATAAAAATACTCTCTTAATATTTCAGGAATACGACTACGATAAAGGTCGATTAATAGCACTGAACTTAGAATTCAGAAATAATAAATAATTTTTAACTATGACAGCCATATCTTTACTAAAAAGTAGTCCCTGTAAATAGTTAAGCATACGGAGTTAAGAATTGCACTCAACAACTTTACTTTGTATTTTTTGTTTGAAATGTGTGATTATTATAAGCTATTACCTATATATGCCGTTCCGTAAAGCAGATGGAGTTAAGAGTAGTGTTAGCTCGGTATATTGCTTGTTACGAAGAATATACTCGTAATATTGCGGTCTCATCAATATGTGGCTTTCTAAAAGATAGGTTATTGATTTTAATAATTGTCTTGAAATTCGAGGCATATAAGCAATGTCAAATTAGCTAAAAACACCGCCGATGCCTTGCAAGCCAAATTGTATAAATTGCTAAAGAACTCGTACTCTCATTGGCATCAATACCGAGAATTTCATGATGAGATTCTAACTATCTGAACTCACATTGGAGGGTGGAGGGGTTTTTTCTCAGAGTCTTATGAACATCAGTAGATTCAAAAAAAGTGATTGATTCCGATCGGTGGCGGTATGGATATCTTTGTTTCACCATTATCTTTAATAAGAGAGTTTAAAACCTGTTTATGACTGGTGCTACAATGCGACAAAGAGGTTGTGGGTTTTGACGTTTGAAGTTGAAGTAGTCACCTTCACCTTTACCTTCAGAAAGCGAGTAGATTTCGAATATTTTAGATATGTTCTGAGTTTGGTATTCTTGTCGAAGAAAGTCATGGCCAAGTTTTGAATCGAACCGGATTAACCGAATTGAATAACTTTCGTAACTATACGGCTTTGGCGTATAATAATATTCGGCTGCTTATTAAAATGAAAAAAAAAACATTATTGGCTTTGTTGATGAACTTGCGTAATGTGTCGAAACTTTTGTAAATATTTACATATCAAAGCCAACATTTGCATAAATATATTGCAAGAATTAGACAAAGCAAATAAGATGACTGACTACCAAACAGTCTTGCAAATATTGTAAACACTACACGTAACGGCGGCAGCAACAATGTATTAAGGATCCAAAATGTTGTTTAGCTTAATTCGATTTTAGGCAGTTTTTAGAGGAGCGTCTTTCAAGTTAACCATGGTACAAAATATCAATAATTTTTGAATTTTGTTTTTTTTTTAATTTCGAAGATTTAAGCTTCTCTTCTGAACAAGTTGTTGTACTGAAGCACTAAATACTAATGCTTTTGTTGTAAGTGAGCTGAGCCTAATTCGCCTTAGTTGTTTTTTCCCTCTTTAAAACAATTAAATTGAAACTCATAAATTTTTAAATATAAAATTAAAATGTATTTAATAGAAAACGGTTTACTATTTACAACATATTGTTTGAGAGCAATGAGATGGTTGTTTATGACTCGTACGCATGAACTACTTAAAGCAATACAACAGTAAAAACAGAAAAACAAAATTATTGCTACGGTGTCCTAAGTACAAAAGAAAGTTCGACTAATCTCAGTTCCAAGCGATTTACTTCTTTTTGTAGACATAACCACCGTTGGAAGCATATTGTGTACCAACATCGCCGCCAGAGTACGATGAACCACCCGACGAGTAGGATGAACCGCCCGACGAGTAGGATGAACCACCCGATGAGTAGCTTGGGGCAGCTGGAGCCAAGTAAGTGTTAGATGGGCCAGATAATCCCGAAGAACCACCGCTCGAGTATGAACCACCGCTGGAGTAAGAGCCACCAGCAGAAAGGCCAGAGAGACCAGCTGAGCCACCAGATGAGTAAGAACCACCTGATGAGTAGCTTGGAGCAGCTGGAGCCACATAGGTGTTGGATGGGCCAGAGTATCCTGAAGAGCCACCGCTCGAGTACGAACCACCGCTGGAGTAAGAGCCACCGGCAGAAAGGCCAGAGAGACCAGCAGATCCACCAGATGAGTAAGAACCACCTGATGAGTAGCTTGGAGCAGCTGGAGCCAGATAGGTGTTGGATGGGCCAGAGTATCCTGAAGAACCACCGCTCGAGTATGAACCGCCGCTGGAGTAAGAGCCACCGCTACCGCCTGAGGAGAAGATTGGTGCTGGTGCCGGTGCAGAGTAAACTGGAGCTGGAGCAGGAGCTGAGTAAACTGGTGCTGGAGCTGGGGCAGAGTAGACTGGAGCTGGAGCTGGAGCAGAGTAAACTGGAGCTGGTGCTGGGGCAGAGTAAACTGGAGCTGGAGCTGGGGCAGAGTAGACTGGAGCAGGTGGCGAGTAGCTTTGTACAGGTGGCAAGTATTCGTTGGATGGACCAGCAGCACCGCCTGATGAGTATGAACCACCAGAGGAGTATGAACCTCCAGCACCACCTGATGAGTATGAACCACCAGCACCACCTGATGAGTAAGAACCGCCAGCGATACCACCCGATGAGTATGAACCACCACCGATACCACCCGATGAGTATGAACCACCGCCGACACCACCCGAAGAGTAGGATGGTGGCAAGTACGTCCTTGACAAATGGCTGACATCGGCCGAAGCAAAGGCGACCAAGGCAAGAGTGGCGACAACGAAGAGTTTCTGTAATCAAAAAAGAGAGAGTGAATGAGTTAAAGAGAGCACAGTTGACGGTATGTTTTTAAAAAGAGTGTGCATTTTCTGTCGGATAGTAAGAGATATGTTTGACACATTTTATATTCGAACTAATTAATGTTAAAAAACTGTTAAGGAGAATTTTCAAATTGATTAGATGAAAAAATTTTATATTTTTCTGACTATTTAATTCGTGTTTTTAATTTTTTTTTATTATTGTAGTGTTTTTTAAAGTACACTTTACAGTTTTGTGTTTATTAATAAACATTTTTATAGGTTATGCATTTATTTGTCACCCAGTAGCCACTAGATAACACTTTTTTACTGGTGCAACACCGTCTTGTGTTGAAAAGGTCGAAATCACTCCAAAAAACTCTTAATTTGATAAGAGATAAACACATCTACGCTTATCCAGGAGCACATAACGGTAACTTTGGAGTCACAATACTATTATTTTACGTTTTTTTTTCAACAAGATTTGAACTATAATTTTATATAAATAATTTTTTTTTCTCGTACACCCACCATTTTGCTCAGATGTTTAAATGTGTGGTCTATGGGAAAGGATGAGACTACTTAGCTGTACGAAGAAACCGTTGGAACTGATGCTGTTCCCCAAACTAACTGACCAATTTATACAAAAATTATGCTTACACGCGAAATACGAATTCGACGTCCAAATCACCTGCCCGCTTACACCGTACCCCGCAGCTATCAACAACACCATCATCAGCAGCAGCAGCGCTCTAGCACGGTAGCAGCGGTGGCAGCATAACGCTGCGCCACGCAACGACGACGCGACGCTAGGGCTGGCAAACAAGTTTTAGTGATTTACAAAGCATACAACAACATTTAGATAAATAACAACAACAATGAAATGCTATCTAGAGACCCCTAAAAAACCCCTCCAAAAGCGCAAAAGTAATAAAAACTAGCAAAAACCAAAACGTGAAAAACAATCATCTGTGAAGGTGAAAACAGCAGGCGCGGAGACCAAGGCGTCAGCGCGGTTGTAAAACATATATCTCGAAAAACAAAAACAAAACGCGAATTGGTTAGTCTGCGAAAAAGCTAATAAAAAAACTGAGGTGAGAGATAAAAGTAAAACCAGAAAAAATTTAAATTTACAAAGAAAGACTTAAATCGCTTACAACAACTGCAATGCGGTGGTCTACATATGTTAATCGCGCACAGATTTGTAGTTGAGCTGGCTGAGGCAGTGACTTTTGTTTGGCGATTGCACGTGAAAAAAACAGGAAAAATTACAAAAAAAATTATTACAAAAGAAGTTAAAAAAAAAAAATATATAAAAGAAAACGGAAAGACATAAAATTAAGTAAGTAATATTCAAAAAAAAAAAATATGGATTAAAAAAATAAAATTAAAATTAATTAAAATATAATAAAATAAAATCAAAAAAAAAATTAAATAAATTCCGATCCGTTTACAATCGTTCAGTTTGTATGACAGCTATATGCTATAATAAACCAATCTGAACAATTTCTTCGAAAATTGCATTATCGCCTTTGACAATAACTCATGTCAAATCTCGTGAAGATATCTCGTCAAATGAAAAAGTTTTCCATGCAAGCATTTTATTCCGATCGTTCAGTTTGTATGATAGCTATATGCTATAGTGCTTATGCTTCATAAGGTCTTCGACTTTTCGTTTTGGGAAACCAAAACTTCATGGGAAATTTATTATACCCAGTTCAGGATACAAACATAATAAATATCCATAAATATTTATATAATTGTATCATACATTGATGTTATACAATATTTACAACAAAGTTGCATGAATGAATTCGAAAAAAATATTATTTTTAATAAATTAATAACGTTCATTTGTTAACGGCAATAGGACATCCGCTGTGAAATAGTCGCCGCAGGCGTCATACTGACAGCGCGGCACATGCATAACCAGTTGCCAGGCGCACGCATGCGTAATGCCACTAGCTACTACTCTAGCTATAAATAGCGAATTGTGCCACCTTTTGAGAGCACACATTTGCATATACATATAATATATACACACATACAGATATGTATATTAGTGCTTGATTTCGTTGTCGACCGAATGATAATGCAATGGACGCATTTTTAGCAGCTCATTAGCTATGAAGCGTAGCGTAAACTATAAGTTAAATATATAATATTAGTCTATGTATATAATATAGCTATGTTTATGTATATATTTATCAAGCTAGCTGATAAAAGAAAAGGTCAGGTCAAGCTAGAAACTAGCCATACTTATAGTTCAATTTGACCAAGAACGGCGCATGCGCGCGTTTAAATTTATGCATAAAATGCATAATCAAAATATATAAAACGACGGTTTCAAGGCATCAAAAACAATAAATACTTGTAGTTATGACGGATCTGATCTGAATTTGAAGCGCGCATTAACGAGCGGCAGCGCACTGTGGGATGAGTATGAAGAAGTTTCAATGATATTAAAAAAGTGATGACGTTAAAAATACTGAAAGTGCCAACAAGGGTTGGTAAATGAGTTCATTATCGATGACAAACTCGAAGTATCGTATAAAAGTCAAATTCTGTTTAAAACTGCTCCTTAAAGCTACAAGTCTCATACCTATAAGCCATATTTTACAACAATACTAAGTTCTACGTGTGAAAAACCGTATCTTTCTATTGAAAATTTTGGCCCGACTTTTTATTCTTGTTTTTATTTTTCTTCAAAGCTAATATGGAATAATTTCAGTTCTGAGATATGGAGGAGGAATTGTTATTTGGGTTTTGCGCAATAAATAGGTGGTTATACGGTATATTTTTTTTTGTATTTAGTTTCTAATTTTCGTTGTTTCTCTTTGCATTTTAGATCTTTTGTTATGAGGAGGTCGTTGAAGGGTTCTATAATTCGAACTTTGAACGATATTTGATCAAACAATCCATAAAGGATCTGTCATTTTGCTAATGCTAAAATAATGATTTTGAATAAAGCTTTTCCCAAATGTTTTCCGTCAACCTCGTTAACAGAGGAGACAAAATATTTGGTCACTCTATGACCCTAACGATAAAAATTTCGTTGGAATAATTTTGAATATTGAACGATAAATGTAATAGATATATTTCATTCGGTTCATTAAAAAAATCGATAACTATATCGATATTCTGTAACTTATCGATAAAAATTAATCGATATATTCGAAATAAACTAGTTTGCTGAAATGCTTATTCCATTTGAACCTCACACATTTCAAATAAACTTAGAGCAAATTGCTTATTTTTTTACCAAATTTATACACTTTAGTCCCACTGTGCGCCGCCGGCGCATTAATGGCTCAGTTGATGTGCGATGACAAACAAAGTCAAGTGGATGTGAGACCAAAAAACCAAAAACACAACATTCAAACGCATGTTAATGCATGCTAATCATAACCAAAACACGTGAAAAACAAAATGTTAGAAAAAGATATGATAAAAAACACATAAAATAAATTTTTAAAAAATAAAAAAATGGCAAGCCAATGAGTAGTTTGTGCAACTAAAATGCTGGCTGCAAATAAAATTGCGGCTACAAATGTTTAACACCACGCAGCAGATAGCGGCGCCGACACCGCGGAAAGCGGTCACGAAAACATCAAAACGGTGTCAACGCAAATTGCAGCAGCAGCAGCGAAACGCGCCTGCGCAGCAAACACTTTGTATTTGTGCTGTTAAACAAACAAGTCTAATGACAAAATGATTAAACAAAGCAATGCAATGCCGGCCAACACACAAAGATACACACATATGTACATATATCAGCGCTTAGACGCCTCGCTGGCTACTTGGTTGGCTGGCTGCGTTGTATGCGCGCTCGTCTTACTGTTGCTCATTGCGACGGCGCATGCGCATTTGCATATGAAAAAGTGCTCGAATAGACAGCTAAGTGATTGGGCGCGCGACGTGACAACGGCGTCGTCGTCCGCGCTGGTCTCTTCAAAGCTCAGCTAACGGTGCACTAAAAAACACTCGAAAATTCTTCAATTAAATTTATTGCCGCAAGAAATATTAAGTGGTAATGTCGGTTTGCCTGTAGGCGCAAAATTGTTGCAAGTTGTTTACATGAGTGCTTTTCTTACTTTTTTTTTTGTATTTCTTGTACTTTTTGCTCTACAATTTCTATTACAAATTAATTGGATGACTTGCCAAGGTCAATGATGAGTTGGCACTTTTTTCGGAGCTTATCAGCGCACTCACGTACTTGTTTCCCATTCTAATTGTATGCCACTGTGGGCTGGTTGCCCTGCAACTTGAATGCCATGTGTAATTACTCCACTTTCCTGCATAATGTGGGCGCACAAATTTCAATGATTTGGTTTACGAATCGCTGGCACAAAACTACACGATGCAGTTGTAATTTATTTTTGTGTATTATGTATATTCCTGTATATATTCAGCTTGTACATAAAATTCGAGTAGGGTACTTGCTAAAGTTTACCATTCTTGAAAAATATCATGATATTATTGTTTTAAAAAATCGATAACATTTAATCGATATTTGGCAATAAAATTTTATTTTTTTCATAAAAAGCTATAAAAAGTAAACGATATTTTTAAAACTAAAGGTTCATGACACCATCATAAAATTAGATATCAGTTGAGACATTCCTAGGCTAACATAACTTTCAAAAAATAAGTTTATGCCATTTATCAAAAATTATTTTTTGTTCGATAAAAATTCTTATAAAAATATATTTAAAATTTGTTATTCTTTCAATATTCAAAAAAATTCCTACTGGGTCCTGTTTCTCAGGTTATGATATGTTATGATGCATAATATTTATATTTTTTTTGTCTTAAGTTCATTTGAAATAACAGTAATTATTTTGCTAACGGCAAAACTCACACACTAATCACTAATATGGGGGCGCGATCTAGGTCAGTTAGCTCAGATAGGTGAGTTGTTGTTTTTAACGATATTTTCAATCTTTGATGATATGGATTTTCGTTCAAACTAAGTTTTGTACGCTGCGACTCTTACGCAAGCGCGGAGCTTTCAGTTGCGTGGAAATTCCGTATTTTCAAAGATTTCGATTGCCTTTTGTGCCGATATTGATAAGCCATCGAGGGTATAATGGCACAATGACTGTAAGTAAATAATAACAAAAGACATACGCGAAACTTTTATTGTGGTATATTAAAAGAGGTTAAGTCGATCTGGATTAAAGTTAGTACTGAGCAATATTTTTAAGACTCAAGAAGCTTAGAAACACTTTTAAGTTAAACTTAATTATTTTTTTAACACAATCTATTATTATATTAAAAATTTTTGAAATTATTTTTCAATTCTGCTTCGTTTAGTTATGAAAAACTTGACTATCTTCTAAGGCAGCTGACAGAATTATTGAATGATTAAACTTTTTTATTTTGGAACACAATTCTTCCAAAGCATTTTTTACTTGCTAGAACCCGTTGTGATCTCGGCATCAGCACTCAAACTTTTTTTGTTCGACGATAAACCCATTTATTCTTCAGCAATATTAACTTGTTATATCCCAAAAATGCTTGATATTGAATGTTTTATCCGTAAACACATGTGTTTTAGGACTATAAACGATATGATTTGCTTTAAAAATTGGTCGAAAACAAATTTTTTATGTTAATACGCTTACATAACACTTCAGTGAATACCCAGGGGCAGCTCAATTTCCAAAAGAATGCTAAGAAAGGTGGGTAAAGTATACTCTTTGAAAATTTTCGAAACATTGAATTATATTGTAATAAATATTTAAAGATTACTTTAATATCTTTTCATTTGTTACCGAAATTGTAACAGTTTTCAAAAGTTGGCAACCCAGCTTAAAAATATCTTTCATAGAAACCCTTTGCAATATATTTGTTTTATTTTTTTCACAATAATGTTTATGGCTTTAAGTCTTTTTAAATTTCTTTTTAATACCAATATTTATTATTGAATTAAAATATTGTATTAGCATGGAATTAAAATTTTTAAACAGTTGGCAACTCTACAAAAAACTATTTTTAATTATAAGCTATCTTTAGTATGTTACTCATAATGTAGTTTTCTTCATTTTATAAATTTTTCGGTTAAAAATTTTCAAACAGGTGGCAACTTTCTAAGTTTTTTTCTGAGTTTTATAACGGAAAAGAAAAAAAAGAATTGAAATCTACAATGTGGCCATTTATTACGTTGGCTGTGTCATAATTTCGTTGCGTCACACAATTTCATTGCAAACTTCCTTTAACATTTTTTTTCAAAATTTTACCGGTACGTCCCATTTAAGCAATTATGCCATTATATTTTTAAACAATTTGATTAAAATTTTTCATTTTGAATTAAATTTTATATTACAATAAGTCATTATGTACACTGAATGTATCAATGTATAGTTAGCGATAATTAATTGCACACGATTTCGAAAGTACAACGACGGAAGCCTATTTAATATGGACTTCTGAAAAGTAAGGCGTGTAAGTGCACACCCCTTTTCCAAAAATACAGGCGCCACAATAAAATGCATGTAATTAGGAAACGGGACAAATAGTAACGGTATTAAGAGGTATTGAAAAAATTGTATTTTTTTTTGCAAATTTTGCTCCGGTTTAAGCGTTTAATAACGGTGTAAAGGTTTTGGGAGCAAATCAGATTTAATCAAAATGAAATTGAGGCATGCAAATGAAAGACAATCAATTTAAAAACAGAAATTGTGGCAAGTTGTACCATTATGCTGGTATAAAGCGAAAAAACAAACAACCGTTAATTTTCGGCTTACAAGGCTTTTCGATACAATTTCCATGACAACCATTCATAATTTAAAAATTAATAATTTTGTTTTCGGTTTTTTTTCTTTCAATTTCATGATTTTCTATTCGACTGTAATGACCGCATTTAGTGTAAATATATTTTGTTTAATTTGAAATTATGACAGAAAGGTGGAAACTGACAGATGGAGATGAATGATACCGTAAATTCGGCGCGTATGATTAGTTCGAGCCCTATAATTTGACCGGGCAGAAAAATGTATTATAAACGCAATGTGAATTACAGCTACAAATTTAAGTTTAAAAGCAAAGTTATTGTTGTTGGTGCCGCTTTGAAGTGATCGGAGCCTTGAAACCGTTGCAAAACTGCTAACGGAAATGCCATTGCACTGCGATTTCGGCAAGAAAGAGGTAAACGGCGACAGATGTGCCGCCTGAGGTGAACACTGGCGCTGGTGAGGGGCTTCAAAAAAGGTGAAATAAGAAGGTGGTAGCGGTGGCACAACACCAAGACATAATTTTACATAATAACAAGTTGAGTTGAGATCGCCAGTTAAGTGGGGAATGAAAAAAAAAAAACAAAAATAAAAATAAATAAGCGTTGGCAACCAATGTATGAAGAAAAAGATAAGAGGGGATGGTAGAGCAGCTGCGTGACAGGCGATCCAGTTACATAGCGTGTTGCACCAAAAGCAAGCAAAAAGTCAACGCAGAGAAGCTGAGTAAATGAAGTGGAAAAAATTCAAAGAATCGCCATGAAAAAGTGACCAAATTCGAATGTAATTGCACATTCACAGAGAACCGGCTATCAACATAATTGATGCGCAAGCGCATGCGCAATGTGACGTAACACCACTTATATGCGCCAAATAAGCTGCATGGTAGGCGTTCATGAACTTGAAGAATGCGCGTCGACATGAACGCCTTAGCAACGACACGAAGCTGGCACTCACTGGAGCGCGAAGCGAAAACCGAAAGTTACATGCACATGTCAATGGAGATAAGGAAACGAGCTCTGCGTACAGGCGGTTGAATAAGCATGCCACAAATGTCAACCTCAATTAATCAGACCTTTCACTATTGAAAGTGAACAAAAAAAAAAATTAAATAAAAAATTGTTTATTAATATATTTGGAAAATTATTAAAAATAATAACAATTTTTAGAACTTTTTTTTAATTATATTTTGAAAATTTTTATTTTCGTTTTCTTCACCCCGCTTAAAAAACTATAGAACTACAAGTGCTACTTCGAGTTGCGATACTCTAAAAACTAAATTTAATAGATATAACCACCATTGGAACCATATTGTGTCTCCACACCAGACGAAGCGCCGGCACCAGCACTCACATACTGTTGCACAGCATCATGCGATGCGGCGTGTGAGAACGACGCGGGCAGTGGTGTGCGGATAGCGGGACCTTGTGCTGCTGCCAAACTCACATGTGATTCGTGAGCGCCCGCATTGTTGCCATAGCTATCATAGGTCAACAGGCTGTTGTGGCCGAAATCTTGTACGCCAGCATCTTGACTGCTCAAATCGTAGCTGCCACCATAGACGGCACCGGTGTCATCGTCAGCACCACTAACAACAGCATCAACTTGTTGCTGTTCCACTTCGGCAGCACCTTGGTATTGTTGCTCCACTTCATCCTGACCGTATGAGCCATAAGAGACGGCGCTGTCATCTTCGATTGGTGCCACTGCAGCTGGCTCTGGCTCTGGTGCTGATACTGAAGCCGGTGCTACTGGTGCGCTGCCATAGTTGACATGCACCGCTTGCGATTGTTGTCCATGCCCAAAATCGTGGCTGTGTTGCTGACTGCTGTAGGACACTGAACCGGTGTGTCCGGCGCTAGCGCCAAAGCTTGAACCGACGCTTGTTCCGAAGCCGGCTGAACCACCAACAGCACTGTAGTGCGAACTGCCACTACCGCTACGGTGGCCATGTTGCACAGGTGGCAAGTATTCACGGTTCAGGTGGCTGACATCGGCAGCTGCGCTGGCAATTAGTGCGAAGGTGACGAGGAAGAGTTTCTGCAATTAAATTAGAAAATAATTAGAAGGCTTTGGAAATGTTTTTTCAATATATTTGTTTGAAATGTATATAGAATTTGAAAGCTGTAGTGGACTGAATATCAGCAAGACTTAGACCTCTAAAACCTTACCTCAAAAAGGTAATGAAGAAAGGTTTTGGATATACCATTAATAAATATTTGGGTATGCGAAAGTAAAGGCAGCATCCATTCAAAGCATGGAAAGTCGAAATACTTAGCTGACAAAGTTATGATGTCTATATATTGGGATGTGAACGAACACTGAATATCTTGAAAGGGAAAAACCATCACCAAAAAAAGAACGGAATTGTTAATCAAAAATCAATGATTGTTTTTTCTACGATAGTGTAGTCTTCGTAACTGGAACGAACCCGAACTCTTATCCGGTCAAGAACTATCAACTAAACAGCTGCCCAAAATTATTTTCAATAAAAATTACAACAACCAAGATGCATAAGTCCCCTGAACTGGACTTGGAGCTTTTTCCACCATACTTTCCAGATCTGGTCTTAGCGAACTGAGGTCTATAATGAAGTAAAAGACAAATAGTACAACAAAAGTAGTAACGAAAAATCGGAAGATTATTTTAATCAGTGTAACGGTGGCGATAGCAACTATCTTAAATAATAAATTCTTAAACTCTTCTTCTATAAAATTTTTTTGTTTTCTGAAATTAACCCCAACTTTGACTCTAACAATAATCATAATTTTTAGTATTGTGCATGAAATTTTTCCAAAATATCGACGAATAATTATCGATTACCGATTTATGTAATTCGATAAATTTTAAGTATTGAATCCAATCCGGTGGCTTTGAAAACCTTACAAAACTTTGAGAATGTAAAGCAAACTACAAACTAAAATTATTTTTAATCGAACTTGATTTCATTAAAAAGATTTTTGAACTGAAATTTAACTGGAGTCACTTGATTAAAAACCAAGCTTAGGACTTTTTTCTGGTATAAAAATATGAAAGAGGAAGAGGAGGAGAAGAGCAATATTTATTGTTTTACTCTAAGATACTATCGGTTTATACTAAGAACCTTGCGCTAATATTATATCTCATTAAACTTAACGATTGCTATCAGTAAAAGACATTTCCTTCGGGAAATTAGATGCGAGAACAAACCACGCTATCTTTCAAATTTAATACAAAACAAAAACACATAGAACACAGAATCAAAACCTTTACACAGCTACTACTACTATTCATTATCCCAAAGGGTTAATCAACACAGCACTACTTTTGACTTAGAACGAATATCGAGGAATATATAATATATATTTATATATACGTCTGTATGTATCACTATTCCACAAACCATTTTGAGGAGTTTGTTTATTGTGCTAAAATTTAGAGACCAGGAACTTCAGTTTGTACTAAACACGGCGAATTGTATGTGAGAACTGTCACTACGAGTCAACAAAGCCGTAGTCTTTTATACCCGACAGAAACCGCTGTTTTCATAGTGCTACAAATATGTGTATTATTACTTAACAATAACTTAATTTAAACATATCTATTTTCTGTAAATAAATTAAAACTCTAAAATTTACCTAAGAATACAGCAAAAGGTCGCAAATATGTCGTAGTTGGTTTTGTTTGACTTTTAATTTAAAATGCCGATGGCGAAGGCGTAGAAAAAACGAAAACATAAATTTTAAAACATAACAAGCCACAATAAAAACAGTGAACAAAAGAAAGATGTGGCAAATGATTGAAATAGAACTAACATAAACCAAATACAGGGTGCACCATAGCGTTTGAGTTTGAAAAGCCACGTAACTGATCGCAAGAAATTTGAACAAAAACCAAATTGTAGTGTGATGTTTTTGGCAAAGCTTTCCCCTTTTTAATATTTATTAAATAGTTTTGCATAGATAGTCAAACTAAGAGATCCATTAGTGTACACAGTATAGTGTACTGTGTATGAAAAAGTCTGAAAATATTCCTTAAGTGTATAGCACAGTGAAAAATATTTCAACTCTTCGAATTAGGTATGGAAACCAATGAAAAAATGGTCGCAGTTGTGCACTTCCACATCAGAAATTGCTTAAGATCGGTCAGTTCTTTTAAATATTGTTTAAAGCAATGGATGCTTGAGGAATATACCGTGCCTTGGAACATCACCAATACCGAATTTACTGGTAATTGAGAAAAAGTTGGAAATCGAGAACATAACTACTATCTTTAGGCAGGAAGAAACTCATTCTTATGGTAAGAGTAATGGGTTTTTACCCCTGAGATCTCATCTTTCGAAACAAATAAAATTTAGAAGATTAAAGGAGGGTGAGATTGTGGATTTACTTCTTTTAACTATAAGTAGATTCAGACGAAAGATCTTCTACGTGCCACAATATTCCGCATTAAAAAATTCTGCCAGTTATTAAATGGGTCTTAGTTTTGAATCTCTGGTGAACACAATAGTCTCATTCATGTCATTTGGCCAGGTGCTTTTCGACCTCCATTTTCACATATGCAACCATTTATGAATCAACATCTCTTTATTTTTTACACATCATTCTAAGATTTTGGTGACAGTTACTGGCTTTAGCTTAGCCATGCCTTACCCGATGTCATCATAGATCAATATGATATCTTTCCGCTGTATTTCAGAGAAATTGCTTCAAATTCTCCATCGAAATGTCATTCTGTGAAGATTGAAAATCTCTTAGCCCCTAGAACACCTAGTTCGACATTTTTCGATCCACAGTTACATATGTCAGAATAGCTTGCAAAGCCGATTAGCTTGCTAGGGAGTACACCCTTACTCGGATTTCATCCAATTGGAAGTGAGTCGGTTTTTGACGTCCTCTTGCATTCTAGAGCTGGGCCTATGGACCTCCAGTGAGGTCCGGAATTTGTGCGACTGCGACAAGCTTCTGGCCCCGAGTGAACCGTAAGAGCTTCTACGAACTACTTGCTCTTAGCAAAGTCAATCTCGCCACAAAAGTAGGTGTTCTGGGTAACACAAATGTCGAATATCACGTCCAAGTGAAATTCTCGATTTTGGTTCAACCCAACGACCTAACTTAACTTTACCTATGGCAATTTTGAAAATATACAATATTTTAAAAATAATGATTTGAAAATAAACAAACGATATTCCTACAAAAGAACTCTCTGCGGACTACCCTGTACAAATATGCTCAACATTTGTTGTTTTTGCTGACTGCGGATGATGACAGCAGTACTATTATCTCACACAACTCATATATGGATAGATATGTACTAATAAACAACTAAAAACTATTGACGTTAGTCCAACTAATTTTAGTCAACGGTGACGTTTGCATAGTCCCTCAACCGCACATATCAACATGCAAACATACGCACGCATGCGTAGCATAACGCTTCTGCAACGCTGGCGGCGCGCTTGAGTTCTCATCCTACCGCTTGTCAGTTTGGCCGGTTTCTTGAATAGATCTTCTTCAAATACTACACTGCTAATTATTTAATTCTACAAGATGTCAGTGGTGTTGTTTTTGCGGATTTTTCATGCCAATCCATATTGACATGTGTATATGTGTGTGTGTTGATGCTTCTTCTATACAATCACTACACCGCTATTTTTTATATGAATGAAGCATCTCAACGCTGAAATCCATTCACAATATCAAATTAGAGTGGTTTAATGAGCAATCCACATAAAAGCACATACATATGGTACATATATACATATATATATGGTCCACTAGAAACACTAACTGGTTTCCATTAAATTTGTTTATAAGTAATTGCAATGTGATCGCTTTAATTGAGCATATTGTAGAAGCTGTACCCGCTATTAAGGTGCTCGATTGCCCGACTGGATTTCCATTTGCATGCGTGTATGTGTGTGTTTATGCTTATTTGATTACTAAGCTCAAATTTGATTTATTTTATATCGAAGTGAGCACATTAAGATCCATTAGCGGTAAATAAATTTTATATCTTCACCGCATAGGTAACAAAAAAGTAAATTAATTAAGATCAATAGTTTCCTTATTGCCAACAAAAAAAAAAGATAAAGAGGAATTCAGTCCAGTTCAAAAGTGAACACTTTCCAGAAAATTCGTCGAGATTAAAAAATTTTCCTTCTTCAAAGAAATGAAGATAAGTGATCAGAAATGATTTTTATCGAAAAGATCTTTACCTGTTTCTGTGTGGTGCACTATGAATTCCTTCCATCGAATTATGGAATATTGGACAATTTTTCGTTCCTTCATAACGACAATACACCATGTCATACGGGTCATTCCATAAATCCTCATAAAATCGGGAAACAGTGAAATTTTCAATTTCGCATAGCTCTTAGGAAAATTTTGTCAAAATATTTTCTTTTGGCAGAACATCGTTTTATGATAGGACAAAACTTTTAACCAAAATTCTATCGAATCGGTGAGGTCGCGTCCAACTATCTGTCGATTTGACATGGAATGTCCCATACTGCATTGGTTATTTGCGACATTTTTGCTAAAAACTCGACTCATGTCGTTCCGTAACCACCGTATTCGACTGATTGGCCTTGGTGCCACTTCTAGCTACTCAAAAAGCAAATGCCGACACTTGAGGCACAATTGAGCAGTTAAAAACTGAATAGAAGAAGGTATTGAAGGCTGTGCTGGAAAAATACTATTCCGACTGTTTCAAGGACAGCGATGGCAAAAGTGCGGGGATTACTTTGAAGGGAATAAAATTAGAATTTAGAAAATTAGAATTGGAAGACTAAATAAAGAATTTACATTTTATAACCAAACTCGCCTTACCTTATAATCATAGTAATACAATATATTGCGATTGATTGGGCTAGAGCTTATTTTTACAATTTTTTTTAGGAACTCTAACGAATTGCTTACTTAGACTAAGGTGAGACTCAGTGTAAATAATTGGCCGACAATTACGTATTCTCCAGGATAGTCTTTCGAGACAGTTATTTTATATTTCCCAATGTGAAATGTGATCCAGTTTATGTCTTAGATAATAAAATATGAAACGTAGATCTAACTAATTGTTTAAACTAACTATAGTTTAAAGAGTTTAGCTAACTATAGTTACCAGATATTCATCGCGGTATCTGAAACAACTCTTCTTTTAGTAAACTTAGGTTTTTTGGCGATGTACCTATATCAATCTTTCATGTCTAAAATATGTCCACTATAATCTATTTTGTGTCCAGCACCTTAATACATTTTATTGATGCTTTCATAAATCGTTATGTTCATTCGACAGCTTATCAGCTGAAGTAGTTTTGTTATACCCAATTCCGCTTTACGTTCTTTACGTCTCAATACAAACATTTTTTAGCTCGAGAGAACAAATCTTCAATATTTGTTCAGGCTACAATATCTTCAATAGTCTAATGTTTGGTTTATTGGAAGTAGTTTCCAAAGCAATTTTGTTGTTTCGTGCCACTGTGCGCTAATTGCCAATTTATAATTGTATCATAATACACCATTATTTGGCTTAAAACATTTCGCATGACTCTGAAATTAGCCATAAGCAAAATTTTAATTTATGGGCACATAAAACATTCATATTTTTCAATATATTGCCTATACAGTCTGCTGAATATTTATAAGGCAAATAAACCAATCAATATATAAAACATAATTAGGTGGCTTGATTATCGCTTTTTTATGTATTTATTATAAAGTAAGCCTAAAAATTACATAATACTGCAGTGTTTGTATATACAGGTGTACAGTTGTTGCCAAATCTTTATATTACAAAATGTAAGGAAATTGTTCAACGTCATTCTTCGACGAAATCGTGAATGAATAAGAATCAAGTATGGTACCATTTTAACTTATTTTGAAGGTCTTATACTCACTTAATTTTGTTGCTATATTTTACTTCCCTTCTCCTTAAATGAGATATATTTGTGATATAAATACAACCGAAGAGGCTTAATTTAATATATTGAGTTGATGTGAACAACGTCAACCAGAGGCTCTAAATTCATTATATTAAAAATATGAGGTTTAGACCAAGATCAATTGTATTTATATTGTGCACTAAATAATTAATATAATTTCATAACTTTTAAGAAAACGTGTTCACTCAATTTTATTAAAATATCACATATTTTGATCAATTTGTTTAAAGTCAGATGGAAAGTTGGAAATCATTACAAGTATATTGAAAATATTGAGAACTTATTTTCAAGCAATTTTATAAATATTTATATATAAACATATAGATGGAGTAAAGTCAGTCGGAAGTTTCAAAATCCTGAATATCAGTTATATAGGGGCTAAGGCAAGTTTTCGCTCGATTTTATCGATTTTATTTTAGGCACAAAGATACACTGTTTTTAAAAAAACCTGTTCTCGCATTTTTATTTAGATAACTCAGGTATTGGCCGATATATGCGGTATACAGTCAGTCGGAAGTTCGAAAATTTTTATATTAGGTAAATGGGGGCTAAGGGAAATATTAAACCGATTCAACCCATTTTTGACGCAAGGGTGTATTATTATCAAAAAAAAATGTCCCCAAATTTCCATAACATACCTCACAGATTGACCGATATTTTCGTTAAAATGTCAGCCAAATGCACTGGGGTCCACATATTCAGTATATGGAGGTTTGAATAATTATAGTCCGATTATGACAATTTTTAGACTCGAGATGGCATACCTTAAGAGAACTATTTGTGCAAAGTTATATCCGAATATATTCATTGGTGCTTGATTTGTGTTCTGGATAGTAGAATATAAGATCGTCAGGATAATGTTATTTACCGAATTAGGTTGAAATCGG